AGCAGTTACCCGTGCATTGGGAACATGTCATAGACAACAATGGTCATTACATTGTAGACTGAAATTGCATTTCAATAAAGTTATAAAATTTTGAAAAATTTGCACAGAGTGTTGCAAGACTTTCTTTCCAACCCAATATATTATATAATACACACTACAGCACATAGCAAGTTCAGTTATAATTATTTTTTCCATGGTGCACAATCATATGCTCACCACTGTGCTGATGAGACATTTCCATATACTGTAGATGCACATAATAGGTAACACAAATAAGAAATGCATTTTCATTTACCTTTTTCTGCCTCATTTTGTATGTCAGCCATGTCCTGTCTTTAAAATAAATTACGATAAGAATAAAAATAAAAGTAAAAGTAAAAAAGCATGGAGACTATTCCAATAAATGAGATGTTTAATTATGCTGAATTATTTCCCATTTAAGAGAATTACAATTAAAACTTTTTGAATGTACCTTGTAGCATTAAATTTCTGAGTCCATGGTCCATTCAAGGTCACCAAATCATCATATCAAATCAGCATGAAAGTCTAAAAATTAGACCTTGTTTATTCTTCATTTTAAAACAGATATTGAAGAAATTCCAAAGAAAAGGTTACCACCCCTATTCCTGGGTAAAACTGAGGTCTGCATGCTGGAATGGGAGTTTCCCATTGCTCATAATACATGAATGATGGAAAGAGCTTCCAGGGTACCATAATACAGGTCGGCCTAGAGGTAAGGCTTCCATCCAAAGTAGAGTCGAGAAAGATTATGTGGGGAGCGAGCATCTTGAATGAGGCGCTGGACTTGGCCCTCCACACTTAGCCCTCCCCCACCAAACTCCACTCCCTGAAGCTTGTGCTGAATGCGAAGAAGCACCACCTCTGCATGCTTCACATGCTTTCGCTCCCCTGTTTCAATCAAAGCAGGAACCCATCACCTCATTCCTTTCACACCAAATGGAGCCATTGAAGCTTGTGTTATTTATGAAAATTGACATTTCTGAACTCACACTTCATCTAGTCTTTGGAACCATACATTCCAAAAAATGCAAAGAATATTATTCCCTACTCCCTTATTGACCTTGGCATGTCAGTTCTCGTTAGAGGATTCAGATTCACAGTTGAAAGATTGTACCTGGAATCAGACCAGTTGTAGAGGCTTGGGAAGAATCAATATCAGAAGATGTTGTCCTGCGCTGAATTTTCTTGGCTTTGGATGGAGTCAATGTCCATAAATACAAAGGATCATAGAGAAGCACTTCCAAAACAGGAAGAATCACATCACGATTCTCTCTTAGCACCATCAGGCATCGCTCACAAGACCTTGGAAGGGAAGCAGAGCAACAAAACCATACTCCTTTCCATGATGTAGCTAAGGCAAAAGAGAAGGGCAAAAAATGAAACTGACCTTCGAAAAACACCTTCAATTCCAGTGATTCCCATTCCATCAACAACATCCCGAGTGAGTCGGAAGGGGACTGTCTCTGGTGTGGGAAGCAGACGACCCTGTTCAAATGCAACACCTGTGAAGATATTAGACTTGGATTTATCAAGAGGAAAAAAACATGCATTACTCTACAGTAAGTCAAAAGTGATTTCAGCAGTAAAAACCTACACAAAAAAAAATTGAAGAGTACTAGACCTCTGTCCATACTACACCAGAACTCTCTTTTATTCTCAACTCAAGTATTACTGCATCCCTGATATGAAAGCCAAAAATTTGTAATATGAATGAGGTCTTCCTATCTTGGTTAAACCACTGAAATAACTTGACTCACAGTGGATTTAAATACAGAAATAAGAGTCTGACCCAAGTCAATATGAATGAACTCTGCTGTGTTGTTGTCAATTAGGATGTTTGAAGGATGTCTATCCCCAATGCCAAGAATGTAACCAACAATTGAGGTAGCTGCCACACTCCGTACATATGCCAATCTTTTCTCATACCAATGAGATGCTTCTGGGAATTTCTCCAGAAAGAAGTGACGGAAAACAGGGTGGAATTGGGAGCAGATGTCCAAGAAGGTCTTCAAACGCTCTCCAGCTGATTTCTGGCTTACCATCTGTAAAAAGAGAATTGGTCATAGGCCTACTTTCAGAAGGCAACATATTAGACCTGAGATTCCTGGATCAAACAGACATTCAGCTTGTTGCGGCAATCCTTGGCAGTGATGTCGCTTGGATTGTATCGAGCATGTGCCCCTGAAATCTCATCTCTTCCTATCAGATAAAGGGAGACTGGCTGGGTATTGTCACACCATTCAATGACTCCACTTCTCTGGGCCAACATGAGGACCTTCACAAAGGGAAGTAACATTGTGATGCAATTGTGATGTGATGATGACTTAAATATGCTATTGAACCAAATTGATGATGAGTGATAAATTGCAATTATAAGGTTACTTGAGTTAATCATAAGCTCACTTTTCAAATTAAATTAAATTACTGTACTACAGTGGCAGAAAGAGAGGAAATAAACTTGAATTGCGTAAACCACAAGTGCGGCTCAAATTGCATCAAAACTTATTTTACTTGTAGGGTAGTGAATACATGGAATGCACTAAGCAAAATTGCAGTGGCTGCCCCATCCATGACTACCTTTATGAGGAGGTTAGATGCCTTCAAGAGCAAAAACAAAAATAAGGGAGCAATAGATAATTGAATAGACTGATAAGGTGGACTATGCTATAGGCAACTAGGCCTAGATATCACCTTCCCAGTTCAAGACCTTGACAACTCAACCCAATTTTGAATTAATAACCAATTTTGAATGTAACATTTTTTGTTCAAGATTAAAAAAAATTTGCCTAACAGGAAAAGGCTCACAGCCAATATATAGATTAGTTTGAAGTGTTAACTACATCACTATATACATTTTTGGTTGGTTGTGCCATTATTACAGTTGTTGGCTGTAAATGTAAATGAAAACTCATTATTTTGAGTTGTGATGGTCTTGACCTGGGAAAATAATATGCTCCCATAAAAATATCTATCATTAAGAGGGGTAAGCCTATCTCAGATGAAATGAAAGCTTGGCATTGACATGGGACTTGCTGATGGGCAGAACTGCCCTTTCACATCCCTAAACTTTTGAACCTTACAGGGGAGGGTGGAGCACTATGAGTCACTTTTTTTGTGGGCCTGCAACTAAGGCATTTTTATTCTTCTGCAGCAATGGAAGGCATTGCATGTAAAGACTCAACATCACCTGCACAATTCTCTGTTTCAAAGTTCTCAACCTCCAAGTTTCCTGGAATTAAGGGGGATTTCGGTCCCCTTAATCATCACTAAAATGAAAAATTAGTTGGCCCAAAGTCATCACATAAATTAGTGTTAGAACTGTAGGATAATTTCTTGGGTTCTGATATACTTTGACACAGTTATCTGGAAGAAGTAAGAACCTTAAATTGGAAAATAATCTTCAAATCATTCCATGTCTAAGAATATCATATCTGCTGGTGTTGAGCCCATCAGAGTCCCACACTCAGTGCATTATCAGGTTGGAAGAAGGACTGCAAAGGAAATCATGATCTGCACTGACAACTCTTAGAAAACATTTTTTTCACTATGAGTTATGACCTATCATGCCCCAACATATGACATTAAAATGAAATCAGGATTACAACCCAAGTATGTTGCCATTGCTGCTCATATGTGCAGACATTGAACTATCAATCACTTGAATCCAATCCCAGAAAGAATCGAGACTTTTCATCAAAAGAAACAAACAGCAAAAATTGAGATGTCACTCTCAATAAAAACAGATGACATGAAGAGAAAAAATGCTAAGAGTGCTCTAGACAGCCTGACCCATAGTACCATATAACCCAAGGTGCTCCACCCTCCCCTGCTGGTGCTGTCAATAATCCTGGATCAGGGCATTAGTAATACAGGATTGCTGTTAGATTGGAAAAGAGTCATGGTCATGGGGATGAACCTGGGAGCTCCTTACTTTTGTCTCTAGTTAATCCGGACATGACTAGTCCAGAATTCATGTTAGTCTGGAACACTAGAACCATGTATCCTACTTCAACCAGATTTTTAGATGAAACAAAAAGGACTTTGTTGTTTCATCTGTTTTCCACCATGTTCATACTGGGGCTATGGGCAAGAAGAAAAGCAGACTTTTTCCTCATTCCTACACTGTTTTTGGATTGAATTGGTACCCCCCCCCCCCCCCTAGGAGCGCTTCCATCAAGTATAGGCAGGACACCTTGTGGGAGGAAGGTGAAGTATTAATAGAACCATCCAACAACCATGTAGAGCATCAGGCTTGACATCTTGAGGATTGTCTGGAAAGCTTGTGTTTTCTCTGTTCTCCACAGTAGGGGGGTACCAATTCAATCCGAAAACAGTGTATATCCCTTTCTCTCTTATACCTCTATTTTAGGGAGAAGGGGGAGGCAGGAAATTCTTCCCTTTTTTACCTTCCATCACAAAGTAGGACTATTGCAAATTCATTTGATAAGTGAAACTTGGGATCTTGATGTGTCCCATGTGATGTGTTAGGGATTAATCCCATAAGTCCTAAGTATTAATCCCTAACCAGGACAGGCTGGAAAATGAATAAATTAAAGACTATAGGCATATAGTTCAATCTGACTGTATTCAATACATTCACCATTTTGGCAAATGCATATCTGTCATCTAGCATAATTAGTCAAAGTTTGACATCCCTCAAAGGGTGTGCCCACTTCTACTTGCCATCCCTGTGATTCCTGAAGCTCAATATTACAATTTTCCCAATACTGCCAAAATATGTCTGGTTGTGTTCTTGGCTCAGTGGAAAATAAGATATGGGAATCATATGACGAATGAAGCCATGGACCTGGAAGTACTCCTCATTCCCTGAGCTGGGGCTAAGGAGCCTAAATGGGAGGGTTCTCCTTGCTGTACTAACTTTAACAGCCCATCAAAGATTTTTCTTGATTTCCTGCATGACTTTTCCATGTCAATCTCAAGCAGTTAATATAATACATCCTCAGACAGTAACTCCTTCTGTATTAAGAGCAGAGATCCAATATAAGACATTGAACAATTGAAATTCCTTCTTGGGGATAGCTTTTTCTAGCAGTTATTTATAAGCTTCTTTCAAATTAATGAATCATGAATGAGTAATATTATGCTCTCAATACTATGAATTTACTCAATGCTAATTCTGGTTTTCCCTTGGTTTATGTTTGGAAGAGGTAGATGGAGGGAATGTAGTCCCTCTGAAAATGGATGGGAGACTGGAGTCCCTTCAATTTCAGGTTTCTATTCCATAGTTGGTCATGGCTTTGCTCCAATGAAAAGAATTTGGGTGAAATTTCTCATCTCCATTGGGAACATCAATGGAGCAAAAATTCAAGGGACTTCAAAGGGAAGGTTCCAGGGAGAGCAGAGAAATAGAAGTTAAAAGTCTATAGTCTTTTTTTTTTGCAGTAACCAACTAAGAGGGAGTAAATGGGAATGGTGGTAAGATTTGGAGATACCTTGTAGGTCCTGATGTGGAGTGGGGACTGGGATGCAGAGAAGAGCTCATTAATGACGCAAAAGACCTGTTGCATGACAGCATCCTGAAGCACCTCATCTTGGCCTTTCAAGAGCTGGGAATAGAGATGTCCATTGGAGGCCCGGCAGAAGATGCGCTTGGGAGCATTGATTCCTCCAACAAAGGCCAATTCAGATTGGACAGCCAGGAGGCGGGGAACATGGTCATAGCGCCCACTCTTGTTTATGGGGATAGACATGGTCAATAAAGCTGCATGTTTCAATTCATTCAGCTTTAACAAAGCTGTTTCCCTTGGAATCTTCACTGCTGCATGTCATAAAGATAAACAAGGAAATGGAGTTCATCAACAGAGAATTTTCTTTGAAATTCACCACAATGTTTCCTGGCTATCACATAACCATGGATTGCATGGATGTTACAAATGGAACAAAAACTTAATCTTGAATAATGGCTAAGTATCCAGCATAGTAATGAAATAATGCTGAGAAGCACTTAATAAATAGAAAAGGAGGAGACATGCATAAATCATTTGGTTTTTGCCACAAGTGGATGACTTTTTGGGAACTCCACAGTATCACTTCATATTCTAACATTTCTTGACTTCCCTTTTGCAAGGAAAGAAAATAGGAAGGCAAAAAGATGAAAATGGGACAACTCTTCCATGAAATCTGTTCAGTGCTACATTTCAGCCACTCCCTATATGTATGTACCCCATTATACTTGGTGCAGTGAAATGAAGCTACGCTGCAAAATTAATTTCAATAGGAACTCTGCAACCACAGTGGCCAATAATAATTAGAACTGATATATGGATCATTAAGTAGCTAATTTTGTATAGGGCTGGGCAATATTGACTTTGAGGGGATCAATATTGCCAATCACATAACAAACAATATTGCAATATCACCATTCCCTTAGGTCATAATTAGAAACATGACTGAAAAGTCATATAACGCATCTCAAGATCAGCACTGCTTTAAAGTCCACACACAGGGAAAGAACACTGGCTGTTTAACATTTGACTAGATCATGATCTTTCTCATGCAAGGGACTCAATTTTTTTCCAAGAAAAAGGTTGGGGACAACGAACTCCTTAGGGAGGATGTCTGAGTGAAGCAATTGAGATATGGGGCATGTCTTTTTTTCTCCAGCTGCTTGCAGCTGCTGGCAAAAAAGACACCAGTGCTAAACATGACCACATCATTAAATGATGTCACTCTTGGGCAAGCTGCTGCCAGCAGAACATAGCAAACTATGAGAGCACTGAACAGCTCGGCCCTAACATGACATCATGGGATGCTGGAGGCCTCAGCAGAGCTAAAAGACATGCCCATGGTGGTACCTGCTCCATTTTTTCCTTCTCTGATGATCATGATGATCAATATTGGATGGAGAAGAGCCAAACTAAGAAGGCCTAAAACAGCTTTTGATCTTGAGTTATTATTGTTCCATGAGTTATTATGCCATGAGAGGACAAGAATAGATTTTTTAAATTCATTTAAATGATGACATGACTGAACATTCATATTTCACTTGATATTCACCTTAGATTGCATCTTTTTGCTATTTTAGCAAGAGTTCTTCATAAGAAAAAGCAATTTTAAATTTGCAATATTTCCTTCAGAAGAGGCAAGACACTTCACTTGGAGATTTTTTTATTACAGGCTCAAGAGATGTCTATTGACTTGTAATATCAGGTAACTATAACATATTGGCAAAAGAGATGAGCACCAGTGAAGGTGCACTACTATAAGCTTCTATTACTATCCAAACCCACAATATCTCAATGCATGTACACATTTTTAATGTTCCTTTTTGTTTTATTTTTATTTTTGTCTGGAGTAGATTTTTACAGACCTCATAGAACCTCACTACCAATCCTCAGGGGTCTGCGGGTGTCTGGATGAGAAATTCTGTTCTAGAAAGTGGCAGAGGACAAAAGAGCCTCAATTCTGCTGAAGATGGTTGGGGTAAATGATATGAACTCCCATATCTCCCTGACCCCTGGAATTAGGTTGTATGAAAATTGCTCCATCAAAAAGGCATTACATTTTTAGCATCTTTAGAGAATATTAATATTTTTTCATGTAAAGCATGCCACACATGGAATGGAAAGCATGTAGATAGGAGTCCCTTTCCTAAGAAATAGACTCACTATCAGGTCAGAAATGGGTGAATGGCAGCAGCCAGTTCCACATGCATTCTGGACACAGCATCTCTTTCAGACAATTGGGATGGGGGGATTTTGGGGGGACAAATGGCTGCCAATGAAATTGTCAAATTTATAGTAACATGCAAAAAAGTGGATTTCCTTGCTGATAGTGCACCTCCAAGTTATCACAGTATTTGAAATCAGAAGATATTAATGCTAAATAAATTCTATGCAATTGCTCCCTACACAAATTACAGTCTCTTATCCTCAATCACCCTGGAGAAATATCTGGGTAGTTCATTCTTGAAGAATCCCATTATTGTTCTCATCAATCAGAAACATCTTTAGAGGCTCTTCTTATAATTTTGCAATAATAGTCAAATTGTCATCCCATGCATAAGCACCTTGGATAATATATTTAGTTCCTGTCTGAAACTTACTCAAAGACTTGTTTTTGCAGTCTTTGTACTCAGTATTGGCAAAGTGAAGGTAGGCACTGCACATCATCTCCATTTCCTGAATGTGCTCCCTCAGTCCCACTCTTACATTTCCTTTGGACTTAAAAAGTCGCTGAAGAAATTCCTCCCCACCTGCTGCCCTTTCCTACATCAAAATGATACATTATAAGGGGAAAACACATTTAAAATATAGGAACTTGAATGCACAAGAATCCAAGGAAATACTGAAGCTTCAGGGAGAAATTAACAAATCTTACAGTAACAGCTGGTGAGGGATTGTTGTCAATTGCATCTTTGGGAGCATTGACAAGAGCAAAGATGAGGGGGAGTGTGTGGTGAGGATGCTCCAATGCACATGACTCTAGAAAAGAGTCATGTACAACATGAAATGTATAGAGACAGCAAATAGAACTATCATAATCTCAGTTGAACAAGGGTTTCTTAAATGTTAGGAGCTACGAGGGTCACTCAATAAGTTATCTACCTGAATAAGAAAGAAACATCCAAGGGGAAAAATAACACTTTATTTTTCNGAAAGTCATCAATTCCTTATGAGCCCCAACACCTCTCTCCACATGAAATGATACCACTCAGAGCTTATACCCAGCACTTGGTTCAAGTTAGTAGCCCCTCTCTCTGCTCTGCATACCTGTTTATTTCTATAAGGGCCCATTCCTGACTATGGATTCCCATGTTTACTTAATTTCAGCAAACCATTCAGCTACTACATACATTTAGTGAGATTTACAAATCATTTGAAGTATTGAGCTATTGTTGCTTTTGATCCCTCTGAAATGCCAGCAGTTAGAGTTGTTAGGTGCCCATTCCTGGACCAGAGAATATTTCTGGAGAGTAGGAAAAAGAATATAGGAAAACAATGCATTTGTACTATTTAGGTTAGCATCTCTATGGCTGCGAGGACAAGGCAAGGCAGAAGTGAACACTGTGATAGCCAAGGCACTTCTGGGTCTCCCATCCTACAAGTTTGTTCCACTTCTGCCACAGCTTACAGCACATCTCACCCCTTTCATATTCAGGTAGATAACTTATTGAGTGGCCCTCGTATCATAGGCTGTATAAGATAGTTCTGCTTACTCGGGTACACAAAATTACTAAAAGCAGATGGTTTTGTGAAATAAACACAGTGCATTGTCATGTTTCTAAATTTTTCATTTCAATGTCCTACTTACTATTTAATAAAATATTATATACACCCTTGTTGAACTGCACAACAATCAGAAACCCTTTCTATGTCTCAGGACTCACCAATCAGATTATAGAGATTTTGAAGGAATGGGTGGTCAGATCGATTGCAGGAAGATAGAGGGGTGAGATGTGCTGTAAGCTGTGGCAGAAGTGGAACAAACTTGTAGGATGGGAGACCCAGAAGTGCCTTGGCTATCACAGTGTTCACTTCTGCCTTGCCTTGTCCTCGCAGCCATAGAGATGCTAACCTAAATAGTACAAATGCATTGTTTTCCTATATTCTTTTTCCTACTCTCCAGAAATATTCTCTGGTCCAGGAATGGGCACCTAACAACTCTAACTGCTGGCATTTCAGAGGGATCAAAAGCAACAATAGCTCAATACTTCAAATGATTTGTAAATCTCACTAAATGTATGTAGTAGCTGAATGGTTTGCTGAAATTAAGTAAACATGGGAATCCATAGTCAGGAATGGGCCCTTATAGAAATAAACAGGTATGCAGAGCAGAGAGAGGGGCTACTAACTTGAACCAAGTGCTGGGTATAAGCTCTGAGTGGTATCATTTCATGTGGAGAGAGGTGTTGGGGCTCATAAGGAATTGATGACTTTCCAATTTCCTCAAGTTTAAGCAGTTGTTGGAGAAGCTATCCAAAAGGAGTAGTGGGGATTACATGCAGGGCAAAGCACCAGCTCTCCCTTGATGCCAGATTCTCTAGAGGCAATGGAAATATGCCTACAGGGTTTCCAGATTGACTTTTACCAACCTAACCCCCTTCTGACACTGTTGGCTACAGTGCTGGAGAGACACAAACTGCACAACTCGAGGGTAGAATCCATGGAAATGCATGAAGCACATGTAAATGGGAGTAAAAGTCAACCCAGAAACACTGAGTGTTAAATGCACATGTGCTTTGTGAATCTCAAAAATGTATTTGATCATGTGCTGCAGTTAAGATAAAGTTAACTATAGCATGCCATTCAATCCTTACACAAAGTTATATTAAAAAATATGCACATACATATGCAATTAAAAATGCCAAAATATGCATGAATGCAAAAAAATATGCAAAAACAGGTTTTTTCTAATGCAGTACAAATTTTTCAGAAGAAGGAACTTCAATGAACATTTCATGCCTCTACTGGGTATAGTTGATTTATTGCTGTCACAGCCAGCAGCAAAGTCAGGAACTCACCATTGGAGGGTTGAGGGAAATGAATGGGGGGCCAGGATTTCCTAAACTTCTCAGGAGTAGCAGATGGATTTAGGGCAGAGTTAGGGGGCTTTGTCACCCCAAACCCCCTCTCCCCTGTCACTATGCAACTGGCCACAGCACATAACCACTCAAAAATTTTCATTGGCAGCTCATTAAAAAAAAAAACACACATTTTCCTGGAAAACCCATATTTTTCCCAAAAAATGGGAAGAAATCTGCATAAATATGCACATGCTGAGAAAATCTGCACTTGCATACAAATCAAAAATGAGTTTTCTTCAGGTCTATCCTTACATAAATTTCAAGGAGTTGAAATGGTTATTTTGCCCATCCCTGGCCAAAGAACAAGAACAGCCACTTAGGATTTTAAAAAAGAAGGAAAATTGACCTGTAAGTGGAAGCCATAAAGGAGTCACTGAGCTTAAGACACTTGAGATAGTGGGTGATGGCAAGAAGGTGCATTGAATTCTGCTCATTCTGGCGAGCATTAATCTCCAGCTGAATGAGATCAGCAGTCTTCACCATGGTATTATAGGCTTTGATGTGCTCTTTTGAAGTCAAGGATCCTCTCTGCAGCTCAGATGCCTTTCGTCGACCTTCAGCAACTGCTTCCTGCTTCAACTATCAGTTTTAAAGAGAAATCCTCAAGTTAGCTTCCACTCATGCACAACTACTCTGTCACCTTAGTTGAAATGTAATATGACATTCAGAACTTTGCCTTTGGTATGTGTCAGTAGCAGGACAATAGGAAACAAATTTTCTTTCAGCTTGTATGATGCAAGTGAACAATTGAGTATTTGAATTCCCTTGAAAATTTGAAAAAAAAGGTCACAACAGAGGAAGGTCAAATTGTCACTATAACATCAAAAAATGAAAGTTGAAAGGATGATAAATACAAGGTGTGTTTGAAAAGTAATGCTTGTTTGTATGTAACTTGTTTACTTCAAATCTTACAAAAATAAAATCTGAAACATTGATAGAGGTGACATAGAGGAATAATTGTCTCATTTTCTATTTAATCTTCATTTGCAGCTAGTAACACTAATTTCATCATCACTATCAAATCATCTTTCATGCAAACCATCCTTCATTGGCCCAAAGAAGTGAAAAATCAGGTGGGGCATGGAAGATGAATTGATAGTGTGGATTAAATTCTTGCTGCTGTAAAGGCATGGTTGAAGAAAACAGACGTGGAATTTTACAAGAGGATTTGAATGTTGGGTTGAGGGGTGTTGCAAAAGTGTAGCTGCAAATGGAGATTACATGGAAAAGTAAACAATTGTTCCTCTATGTCACCTCTTTCAATGCATCAAATTTTATATTTTAAATATTTGAATTAAACAAGTTATATCAAAAAAGCATTACTTTTCAAACACCCCTCAACAGCATTGCCTAAACTTTTTGAGTAGATGTAGCCCCTTCTTTTAGATCTCATTGCTAGGAACTCCAAGTTGGTAAATTTCATGCTGTTGAAAAACTACCTTCGCCTTCAATGTTTTCATATACTATACCCTACACCCTCTGTTTGTTAATGAGGTCAAGCTGACTAGCATGGAGGGGGGGGGGGGGGGTTTGCACCAAACAAGCTAAACCTTTGCTTCTCTCTCCATTTCTGTGGGAGGGGAATGAAAACACCATATTCCTTTCATTCCCAATCTCAGGAATTTTGAGCCCCTATAGGCTAAGTGTCATGGAAGTTAATTTTAAACTTCAAAAGGGTTGAAATTTAAATCTAAATTTGACTTCTAAATCTAAATTTTTGGAAGTTCTGACCTTTCTGCTCACTCTAGTTTCATACTAGTTACTTTTGATGCATTCCATTTACACCTGAATGGGACTTTGAATTGTCTTACACTTTCATTTGTCCCATCATTGAAAATTCTCCCTTCAAGCTTAGGTTAAGATTTAAATGGTGCCAAAACCTTTTCAGTAATTGTGAAAATTTTCTAAAAACTGAAACATTAACCCTTATCTGGGTCATGGGAGACCATTGGACTCTCCAGGGTATATTTCAATGCATTACTCTCTGGCAATTTTTTCCAACTTTCCTACAAATTTAAGGCAACTTTATAGATAGTTATCCATATATACCAAAATGAATTTTTTTAGTTTTGATTTGCTTTTAAGCATTAAATTCTTACAATTTCTGCCCTTGCCTGTTTGTGCCACAAAAATACCTTGTCAGGATAGGGGTTATAATTGTATCACTCCATAAAGAATGAAGGCTTTTAGATGCAGTTTTGATTTATTTCAAAGAATGGAATGCATAGAATGTTCCAATAATGAAACTTGATATGACAATTTTTCATCTCTTTTCCTTGATCAGATCAAAATTGTTGTTACATAAGGAAATGGTTATATAACTACATTTCAAAGGACTCTCAATCCATGTAATGGCCTTTCATGCACACTTTAATTGCTTCTTATGTGTTTTGAGTAGCTGATGGCCTTCTGAGATCAAAAAGAGGATATGATAGATCACTTTCATGGATATTAGCTGCTACCATGTATAATATACACCCTTCTCTAACTCATGTAAAAATGAACTTAGGAGGAATGGGAGACAGATCAGGGGAAGGTGTTAAGAGTTACTCCCTGTTAATAAAATAGTTATACAGAAGCATTTGGTTGCTTTAATAATCCTCACTTGCAGCATCCAACATCATGTTTCTACCCAATGTGCATTCAACTCTCTCCTATTCACCAAATCTTCCTTTATTCCAGCTTGGTTATAGGGCATGGGGGGTGAGATGAGAGATTGGGGAAAGATGAAAATAGTAGCTGCTTTTTTCTGGCTTAAAATATTTTGTTCACTTCTTTGGGGAAAATGGATCACAGCACTCTTCTTCTGTACTGCCAAATAGACCATAATTCTTATTTTAGTACTACACTCATAGGCAAAAGAAAGCACAACCAAGAAGTTGAATGATAATGAAATTTGTAACATGAGTTTGTTCTAGTGTACCATGAAAAGGATTAGTTTCAAGTGTGTTAGATGAATGTTAATGGAGGAAATCTTGTCAAACTCTTCAATATCAATAGGGAGGCTATGGGATCAAATATATCAAACTGATGCATGCTAAGCATCCCAATTACCCTATATCAATCGAACACTAACAAATTCTTGAGATTGTCTTCAGAAATTTCACCTTGGCACTGACTCATGATTAGACTCTCAGTAATGGCCCTATTGTGAAGTGGCTTTAGGGGAAGAGAGAAGGAATCTGGCAACATCAATGGCACTACCCTCTTTCTCATTCCTTGGGCATTTGGCAAATTTTCCTTGCAATGCCTCATCCCATGACCTTGAAACTTTCCTAGATATTCTACATATCTTTAGGAGTTTCCTGTCACATTTCATCAGTAAAATTCTTCCTAATATGTGACAGTTCCAGCAATTAGTATGACCCTGTAGCCTCCCCATTGAAATTGGAGGGTTAGGCAAATTTTATCCATGAATATTCATCATACATGCTTGAAACACAAATCCTTTTAATGGTAAGCTTTTGTAACAAATTTCATCAAGATTGTTCAAATTCTTGATAGCATGTTTTTGGGCAATGCTATATGAAAATATTCAAAATGGTGATCTATGGACTCTTGACTGGACAACACAAAGGATTTTTTATAAGGTTTTTTTTTGCTTGGCCTACATCCATTTTTATTGTATCAAGTTTAAAATGTACTCTCTTGGGGTTTGTATGAAATAAAAAATAATTTTCATACTCAGCTGCCATGAATATTTTGGGGAAGAGAAGCATAGGTCTACCTTGAAATCAGGTGACTGGATGAGTTCATCAAGTTGCTTTAGTTGAGCATCAGCCACCTTGGCCATGATGAAGTGGGCACGAGCCAGCTGTTCACAGGTACCTGCTTCCTGACTATGCTCTTCTAGGACCTTACAGGCAGTTTCCAGTTGACCTAGGGCAATTAATGATAATTTCCTTCAGAACAGCCTCATCTCTCCTTGTTCATGGAGCTGGAAAGAAGACTGACTGAGAATAGCTTCCGGAGTGTCAAAGAAGGATTCAGCCATCCATTCAGCATAAATAGTTAACGCCTCAGCATGAAGTATTGGCTTCATCTCCAAGGACTTCAATGTTGATGCAAGCATCAGGTGTCCTCTCTCCAGGTCTCCCTCACTTCTGCACACTTTTAACTGAAATTAAATAGAGAATATTCACATTTGAATTTAATTATGACAAAATTTAGCATTTTTCACTTCAATCAAACTTATTGGCCTCAATTAAAATTATTTTTGTTATGTACACATCAGTTTTCAGACTTACTTCTTCCAACTTTCCAAGGCTCCTGATCTCTGAGTCAACAGGTAGACCAAGACCCTCAAGGACTGTCAAGTTTCTTCGAGCAGTCAGAAGCTGACCAGAGATCCGAGCTTTCTGTGCAATAGCATACAGGGTCTGAGCATGGGCCATGATGGCCTCAGGGGTTTTAAGAAGTAAGAAGGCCATGCTTTGCACTGAAAGAGGAAGTTCTTCATGCAGGAACGGAGCTTTCATGCCCACTTCTAGGTTGCAATGCCTCTGGACAGTCTGAAATGTCTCCTTCAGATCCATAATGTCTCCAATCTTTTCAAGCTTTTCCAAAACCTGACACCAACAGAAAAATAAAATTAAAATAACACATGGAAACCTTAAATATATCAGATATTTATTATTTGTGAAGTCCTGACCTGGCATTGGCTTATCACTGGGTATACATTGGCACATGCTTCAAAGTTAAGCCTCTTGGAGGACTCTGCAATCGCAGCATGCAGATTGCTTAGCTGATACCTAAGGTTCTCAGAATCACTCAGGCAGATGCTCTTAAGAGCCCAAAAGAGACTCTCATGGAAACCAGGAAATTGAGGGGCTGCAGAAGCCGAGACACTGCTTTCCCACTGACCCAGACGCCAAGCACATTCATACAACATCTCTAAAGACTCTGGAGAAGTGTCTCCATTCTCCTGTCCCATGTAACGACTCAAGTTATGATAGAGGCGACTTTGGCGAAGTGTCTCACCCATGCCTAAACACCAACAAAGAAATACTGTCAGTTTTGAGTACATTGTCAACTTCATAAGCCCTGAGTTTTATTCGCCACACCTGAGATGTCTTGCTTCTGGTCATACAATGCAAGAAGGGCAGGCCACTTCTCCTCAAGTTTCAAGATATGAATAAAGGAAGAGGAATCAGAAAGTTGTGCTGCTCGGAGGCATCCATACAGCCCATCAGTGTCTCCAAGTCCAGTAAAGGCCTACAAAGACACACTCTGGTAATCAGCATGTATTTCAGACTAAGTATTCGAAGTAAAGGCCTCACTGATCCATAATTAGTATTCCAAGCCAAACTGAATCAAGATATCAAATTCAAACTCAACAGATTCCAAATGGTTGCACATTTTCCTGGGTTCAATCCATGTTACAAAGGACATTGCACTATAAAGAGGTAAACAAGAAATGGTAATCTACTAGTTACTGGATACCAGAAGATTTAGAGATAGCACCAATGGCATTATTAGGCATCAGCTACAGAGAGTTAGGAGCTATATCTGTAGGAAAAAAGAGCTTGAAAAACATAATTTTTATATATTTTGTTTCCATTTTGTAGTCTGTCTGCAAAGATACCTAATTTTTCTCAATTCAATCTGACCTGTTCTAAAAAGTTATTTTTATGTGGGAAATAAAAATATAAATTATTTCCATAAGCCAAAACTCTCATACTGGACTACAAAACTAATGGAAACTCAATACAGAAAGAGAGTGCAAAAAAACTGCAACTGAACTAAAAGACCACAGTTCTGGGATTGAGCCTGTTTCAGAGTTTGGTGGTATCCTTGTTTAAATATGAGTTTTGGTCTAATTTGAGATGGCCAATTCAAGGGAGAAAACAGGCTCAAAAGTGACACCTTGAGGAGGAGCTTCTGCAACAGGCGACAATCATCCTCATGCAGAGATGACAACGTTTCCATTGGAGAACTACCCTCACTCTCACTTCCACCTTCCCATTCCTTCCTGTGTGAAGGAATAAAACATTAATCATCATTTCAGTCCCATGAATATTTAACCCTTTAATTCATGGTGGAATAGATATGCTACATTCCAAACCTAAAATGTTGATAAAATAGACAACAATAATAAAATGCAACAATGCAACATTAACCCTTTCAGAACTGGCATCCATTCCAATGGAGATTGCATTTTCATTGTGTCTATGATAATTTCTTTGGATTCTTGTGACTTTGTACCCCATATTACACTACAATGGGTGCAATTATGCATGGCTCAATTCCATTGGAGGCCTTCTTTCACTCATCTGTTAAGTAATCTTTAGTTATTTAATTACATGTATATTATTTAATACATGGTATGATATGGTAAATTTATACAAAATATAAGAATGATATATAGGACATGGACATTTAATGTACAATAGCAAAAGAGTTAAAAAATGCAAAAAAGTATATTATTTCAATAATGGTCTTAATCTAAAAGGGTTAAGAGCAAAAATAAAATCTTCAGGCCTTTAACTTACAAAATTGAGGAATTTTTTTTATTTCTAATGCATGCTAGGACCTTAGTGAAATCCACCATTTTCTTTTTTTTGCCAAAAAATAAAAAAGTCATGCAATAACATCCTCTAAGGGATTCTGAGCAATCTATGCATATCCAATGAATCTCAATAGAATGCAAATAATATAAACAAAATATCTAACATGTAATTAACTTGGCAATACATACTTGTATATTAATGATCAAATCAGACTAGGTAGAGAAAAAAAAGTAGTCCCATCATTATTCATGTTTATATGACCTAAGAATCAAAATAAGGCCAGAAAACCAACCTAAGCCTCAAATCACACCAGATCTCCAGGAAGAGAAGACTGAGGAAATGTGAGGAGCAGTACTGGGCTGCCAAAGATGCCTTGAGATAATCAAAGTCCAGGAGGAACTTTAAATCCTTATCATTCTCCTCTTCTTGCCCATCAGTGTTCCCTTCTTTCTTGAAGGGAATAAGAGTCTGCTCCCTCAAAGACTGGATGATGGACAGAACCAGCTGTACAGATCTGCGACTCCCAAACACTGGTTCTTCTTCCCCATCTGGTAAGCAAATATTAAGGGAAAGATGTTCCCAAAGGAAGCACTGGGAAGGAAGATACATCTCACCGATAAGGGTAGAGGCGGCCATGAAAGGTGTACTGGCTGACTGGATTTCAGTGGAATTGCGAAATTGGCAATGATGAGCAAGGAAGGCATTGAGACCTGCCACAACCAGGGGACGGAGATTTTTTTCTGCTTTCCCCACCCCAGCCTTGATGATTTGGGGCAACAACTTTTCTCCATATGATATTGCCTGCCTACATACATCTCTCATGTGAAGAAGTTGGGGGTCTCCAAAGATATCAGTTGAACAAGATAGGATCACATCAAGTAGTTCTTGGACCCATTCTGAGTGTGTCTTCCCTTCTCCTGTCCACAATTCCATTCGAGAGAGCTGTTGCTCTATTTCTTGCCATTTGGGAGACGGTTCCAAGATTTCAGTTACTCTCTGGGTGACCAGACCCTTCAGGATCCTCAGTTCCTTGTTGTCTTTCTCAGCCACTGAAAGGCAAACCCTAGGCTGAATACAACTGTTTTCATCAGCTGATCAGAATTTATTTTATTTTTCATTTGACTGGTGAAGCATAATTTGAGTCTCCATATTTTTATCATTGCAAAATAGAATATGATTTTACTTTTCATTAGCATAACATAATTTTTCCTCTCTTGCTTTGTCTTCACCACACTTGAAAAGCATATATGCAAACCTAGCCAATGAATTTCATCCATAAAAATCACTCCTCAATGTAAGAGGTGAAGAGCTCAATTTATCTGACGATTAGAAAAAACTATAATATGCAGTGCTGGATAAACTCCACATGCATTTCAGATTTTCCAGGATACTCAAAGTGATTCCCAAAACCCAAGATTTCAATGAACATAAGCATGACTTTTGAAGATGACATACACATACAGAGCCCTGCCATAATAATTTGGCTACCTATTGTTATTACAATATGTAGTTTGGTGTGGGAAAAGACAAATAAAGGCAAGCAATAAAGTGTGAATCTATATTTTAGTTCTTAATTGGGCCACATTTTGCAACACAAAAGAGCATTTACACTGTTTGACAATGAATCGATGAGATTTTGAATCACTGTCTGGTTCAGGCTCCTCCATATCTGTGTGAGGGTTGAATGAGTTATTCTCAGCTGAGAATCCAAATGCTGCCACATACCTGAAGGCTATTGGCCTTACACTCTGCCTGGACATGTACCATCTTCAAATGTAGCATCCAAGACATTCTGTTTCCCGGAATGCATGTCCATGTATGAGGGCAAACAAGTTTAGGAACTATAGTACCCAATAACATACCAATGAAGAACTATGCTCCAGTTGAGCTTTTACAAATCCAAAAATTGTTCTATGCATATGAAATTAAATGATGAGAGAACCTTTGGCCACCTGAGGATGATATATTTAAAGGAAACATGTAGGAGACACTGGAGAGTGGCAGGGTACATGATCTCTGATTTTATCCTGATAGCTGAGACGTCCACAGTCATGGAAATGATGTCACAATAAAAGTTGTGCAAAATGGGGAATGTAAAATTATTTTTTAAATGTCCACAAATGTGGATGCAATCCAACAAAGGAATAAATGTGAAAAAAACTGCACCCTTTAATTAATGATGTCCACATGAGTGGACAAGTGATTCTACGTCATCAATATAACCAATTTCAAAATAAAAATTATTTTAATAGCAATTGGCTGCTAAAGTGAGAGCAAGTCAAAATTTCAAGTCAATATCTTCAGTAGTTTATTCTTATGCAAAAAAAGGTTAAATTATAGTGTATTTATCATCGGATCTAAGAGGAGTGGAACAGCTATATAAGCAGAAAATGGCATACAGATTTGGGATTGTGGGTGTCTCAGTGATTCCTGGCAGAGTTTTTGGTGCTCAAACTTCAATATCAGCAAATAGGCTTTCATCTAATCAGTGTTTCTCTGAGGGAAGTCTCACCCAATTGTGCAAGTTCTTGACTAGCTCTGCCAGACATGAGCATCTGCTGAAGAGAGCAGAATGCCATCAGGGACATGGATGGTCCTGACTGAAACAAGGCCTGTGTAATCAGCTTGAAAATGCATGCATACAAGTCCCTCTCAGGTGTCTGGTCTTTATTGGCCAGACTGGAGACAGAAGGAGTCCTCTTCACAAGCAGGGAGGCAAGGTCTCCAGTACCCAGTTCTCCAAGGCATCTGGCTGCTTCATATGATACCTAAGAGAGGAACAGAATGCCTAACACCTAACAGCTCATATAGATTGCTGACTTCAACTACAAGTGCACCATTAAACTTGCAAGAGTAAATTTTGCACAATATAAGAAACTTTCTGTTCTGTTTTTATCTGTACATTATTGAAGGCATGTTTCAGTGATGCAGCTTCCAACCAGAGCTAAAGACCAGGGTTTGATCCCAGCCATTAATCCTTTGTGGTCCACTTTATTTGTAACCCAATGGAAAATATCTGACTATGTCCAACAGTGGACTGCAAAGGGTTAATACACTCAGCTGCAATCAGGAACTTATCATATTCTACCTGGGGCTTGGTACCATGGGGTAGAAGCATGGCAAGTAGGATTGTCATTTTGAGTAATTACTCAATTGATGGTGAGTTTCATCTCACAGTGATGAATATGTATTTGTGAAGTGAAGTGAAGCAAATGTATACTTTCCCATCCCAAATGGTTTCAATGATCCTGAGGTGGGTAAATGCATACTCATTACTAATATTCTGTATACCTCAAATGCATATATATCATGCAGCAGCCTCTTAATGGAGGGTATGACTCAGACTGTTTGTACTCAAAGAACAGGTGCTTTTCAACTTGAAAATTAAAATTTTCAAATTCAATTAAAATTTAAAAAAAAATCAAAATGAAAAAAAGTCTCTCTTAAAGATTTACTTTGTATATCTATGTATCTTGCTCATGGAGATTTAATGGTGATGATTGGCATCATCAACTGCCAAAGCCAACCCACCAAAAGAGCAGCCAAAATAATATCTAAGGACTCCATAAATTGCAGTCAGTAGATCCACAGCACAAACCATTGTGATGATATAACAGGATTCTCCTGTTATATCATCACAATGATATCACAATGATATCACAATCATCACAATGATTCTCCTGTTATATCATCACTCCTCTGATTCCACTGCAAAGTGTACTGCAAGTGAATGCAAAGGTCCCACACATCTTACCTGCAACAGATTGCTATGAACTGACAGTTGCAGTGATCACAATTGGTTCACAAAAGAATGACTCAAAGAGAACAGGCAACATAAGAAAACTTTTTTTTCATAGCTGCAATAATAAATGACCAGACAACAATAAAAAAAAATATTTAGTCATGTGATGGAACCCCTGCAATCAATTTAACTGCCATCTCTCACCATAAAGACACATTCAAGCACAACTTTTAACCTGAAAGGAGAAATGGGAAAGAAGCAAGCACTTACATCTTGATGGGGTGATGAGAGAAACTCAAGGAGGGAGGAGATGAGGCAATGAAGTGAAATGGAATCTGGAGTGGAAGCACCTGTCTTATGAATTTCCTTCATCAATTCCACCACCTGTACCTTCTGGTCACACAGATAAGCTCGCAGACGCCTGAGACTGTCTGATGACACTGGGACTTGGAGGAAAGCTTGAATGATGTCACATAATGGTTCCGCATCCCATACCTTCCTAGTCTCCTTAATCTCTGCACAGACCTCAACAGGGAGTGAAAGAGCGAGATCCCTAGCACAGTCACTGATTCTTGATGCCACTGTGTGAATGGTCTGTAATGCCTCCACCTGCAAACTTGGTTCATTCCTTTGCATCTCAATGATGGTGTTGGCAATTTGTGGGAAAGTCTTCCAGAACTTATCTGAGGTAACCATTTTGGACATTTGGTTAAAAAAACTCAAGATTGATGAGCAGATCTCACGGTTAAGGGACTTCTCCATAGCTGTGTCGAGAGTCCGCAATGATGCATATTTAAGCCCAGAATCCAATGTTTGAAGAATGACTCCAAAGATCAGTTCCTCATTTTCTCTCAATCCAGACTGAAATTGCATCAAAAGTAGTTCAGCAAATATACCAAATCGATGCAAGCAGCAAAGACACTGGTATGGGTCTCCAGCCTTTCGCAGTCGGGTGCTCAGTGACATCAGGATGCCTGTGGACAGAGTTCGAATCATGCAATCCATTTACCTACCATAAAATCAAATAATGCCTATTGGATGAAATCATAATCACATAGAATTGTGAACATATGAATAAAACCATCACTAAAAAGAGTTATGACAGAAAATGCTTAACGAATTGCAAGATCATACGTCTGAGTTCAACCATCTAACATGGAAGTATGATCAACAAAAACAATGACCCATCAAGATATCAACTTCTCCACTCACTAAACAGATGCCAACCTGTAAGCAAGAAGGGATCTCTGGTGAGGAATGAGATGAGGTTCCCATTGCATGATGCTGTATGCTGGGCTAAGTAATCCAGAGTTGCTGACACAATTTCTGAACTGATTGAGTGTGATGGAGGTGCAGGAAGGAAGTTGGACTTGGACCCTTCTCCCTCAGGGTAATGAAGGTCCAGGATATTCAAGATGAGATCATGTGTAGACCTGCTGAGGATTTGATTCACCTCTTCCTTCCCAAGAGCTTCTTCCAGCTTCTTGTGCAGTTGAGATGCATGCAGCACCTTCATAAAAGAGAAAGATAGATGATGTGGAATAGAGATGGTAATGAAAGTTTCAGTTGAAATGCAATATGACTGTCAATGTGTAAATCACCTTCTCTAGGGAAATCTGATGTTTCTCTGTGAGTCCCTGCTTCTGGGCAGCAAATAATGGTAGAAGGTGGGATTCCAGCCTTATCAAGTGGTCCTATAACAAAACTAAAAATATCTTGATTGGCTCAACAATGGAGGGTGGGCTAAAAAAATATTTGGTTATCTTTAACACTTCAGAGTGTAGTTTCTCAAGAGATTGAAATTATTTCAATAGCATCTTTATATAGAACATTAATCTAGCTTTCCATTGCTGTCAAAATATTTCAGATCCAACCTGTCATTCCGATGCAGTTGTGCACAGAGAAACAGAGATAGTGCTTGAAAAGTGCACTTACCAGTACCCTGTAAGATGTGCTCCAGGTGATGTCCATTCCTTCACTTGCACATTCTCCACCTTGCCAAGGTGTTCTTTGCATTTCCAGCACTACCTCTTATACTTGTTATCTAACTGCATGGAAGTTATGCCACAAATCTTTATTCTGTTGACATCATTGGAAAGCTAAATGAATATTCTATACAAAAGTGCTATAAATTTAGCTAACTCTTTACCAGTGCTGTGGAGTGATAAAGATAACAAAAGTTTTTTTTGGCCTACCCTGTATAAGCTTACATAGATACTGCATATAGAAAAAATTAAATAGGAATTTAAAAAAATGTTATTAAAAAAAAAACAGAGCTCTGTGAGAGATAAAAGCATGCACCTTCATGATATCAGAGATTGGAGTAGAAATGAATTCTGAGATGCATTTGAGTTCATCATTTGAGCCATGCCAAAAGGCAACTGGAAGGAGTTGAGTAAGGTACTCCTTCAAAAAGTCGACCATGGTACAGGCACCCGTCAAGAAGAAGGGAAACTGAGAGATGTTTTGGCCATCCTTGAACCATTTAGGGAACAAAAAATCCCCATAGAAATGGAAGAGTTCTCCTTCCTCCTCCACTCCCAACATCCATGCCATGTATTTCATCCCCTTTTCTAGATTCTCTAGAATCAAAAGTGGACATTTTGTCATATCTCATTTCTTGAATAAAAGTTAGTGAAGAGAATAGAATGCACACTTCTTGGCAACTTTAGCTGATGACAGACTTGGATGAGAAAGAGCAAAGCATGAGGGCGAAGGATGAGACTCTCCTTTGCCACATAGGAGACACTCAACATCAGAAGGGATACTGCATTGTGATTCAAGTCCTGCAGTAAGTCATCTCCTCCTTGGCCTCTCACCTATCATGATATGGGAGTTGCACTAAGGTCTTCCATGCCTATTCGACCAGAGTGTGAGCTCGACCATCTCATTTGGACTAAAATAGGCATGCATATAGAGGAATCGATTTAAAGAGACTAGTTTCAACCAATTATTTTATCTCTTGCACAGATATCCAGATATGTGAATTTGAATATGATCTATTTTTGGCTCCTGGCACATATATGGACAGGAATTGTGAAACTGTTTCTACAATAACTTCTCTTCTAGTAAAAATATATTAATTGCTTAATTCTGGTGTCATTTTAATTGTGAAATAGTCATCTTTAATTTGATTCTAGACATTATTCTCCAAACCATGAACCAGAAGTTCTACTTGAACAAACAGTTTGATTAAGTTCAGCGGCCAATGTCTACGCTTGCCACTTTGTGTATTCGTGGTTCCAATACATCATTCAAAAGTGCATGGTATGCCATTTCTAATGACACAATTCCAGTCCATATGGGTGCCAGGAGCCAAAAATAGATCATATTCAAATTCATATATCTGGAGATCTGTGCCAGAGGTAAAAAAATTGGTTGAAATTAGTCTCTTTAAATTGATTCCTCTATGTGTATGCCAATTTTAGTCCAAATGGGAGATGGTCGAGCTCACTCTCTTGTCGAATTGCGTGGAATGACCCACTAGCACAAAAATTTCCAATCTATGCCACAGCTAAGATCATCTGGTATAAGTGGAAGGCATACATAAACATCTTTGTTGGCAACAATTTGGCTAAGATGTGCAGTCAGGGTGTGAAACAAGTGGAGATGGTTGGCTGCCTCAGAGTGTCTGAAGATGGATGACACTGCCTCCACAACATGTAGCTGTACTGTGTGGCTTTGAAGGCTCATGCTCTCTCCTGACTGCTCCAGTAGATGCAAGATGGCATGGCCTTGTTCCTCAAAGCACTCTTCTTTCCACCCTAGCTGGATGCAGATGGGGATGGCAAAAAAGGAATATAAAAGAACTTTCCCTCTGAGCTGGACAATGTCTCTATAATGACTTTAGAACTCTATTTGCCTATACTCCCTGCATAACTACTTCTTGGCAGATGAAATGGCAGTCAAAATGTGTAAGAGAGCCAGATGAGATACAGGTGCAGATAAATTTTGAAAATTAAATTACCAAAAATTGGAACATGAAATATGCCCCACATTCAAAATATTTCCATGCAACAACAAGCAGAAACAGTCATCTTCACATTTTTGGGAAAATGGTTATGATTAACACATAATCTGAGGCTCCAAAATGTTGAAAGCATCTCCTTTTACCTAATTTTTTCATTTTCATGGAATGAACATGCCATCTTATGGGGTAGTTTCAACTATAAATGAATTAGGGTTACAAAAACATATCTAATAGCAGCACAAACTTTATGATTAAGTCAATCAAGCTATTCAATTACCAAGCACTGTGATTCCAAGACCCAACCACTACATGGGGCACACAGACCTGGAGACCAAGACAGAGGACATCAATGAGTTTCAGAGCCACAGCTGATGGATAGGAGTCCTGGAGTGTCAGCTTTATAATCTTTGTGATGAAGTTAGCCAGGTTCTCTCTATCCATTTGCGTACCTACCCTCTGCATAAGCTTCAGGGCTGAGCTGAAAACATCCAACAACTGAAATGGCAAAACATTTAAATCATTCTGGAAACTAGATCTGCACAACCAGAATGATAGTACTGACTCGGAAACTATGAAAAACATCACTAAATGAAGGGAAAATAGTTTTTGGAAAATGGTTTTTATGTGTCCAGCAACCTTTAGCATCATGTTGGGATTCTTGTAAAGAGTGCAGCAGAGCTTCTGCAGGAGGAGCAAAAGCTCTGTGATGAATCCTGAGGAGGGGGAGGGAAGCTGGAGTATTACCTCCAAAGACCTCAGTACCTGCCAAAACAAATTCAAATTCAAATAGTAAAAAATTTCAAGATTCAGTGTGCTGATTCTGAATGAGCAAGACAAAACATAAGTTAAAAGATAAGGTCATTCAAGGTAAGTGTGATCAGATCCACCTTACAGCACTTACAAGGGTAGGATACCACCAATAAAGTATGGATTAAGAATTATTCTGCCTTTTCAGTCCTGCCCTGCATATCCAGTTAATTCCATATTTTTTTTTTAATATACAAGGGGCATTCAAGAAATAGGGGGACAAGTTTGACACAACTGAGAGGGTAGGCTTATGCCACCACTTACCCAAACAATCTTCTTACAAATGTTGGCCCTTGTCCAATTGTGGTATCAATGGCCTGTGACACTGAAATATATAGGCTGGTGTGCTAATCACCAGTGTACTGAATGGAAATCCCCATCCATGATGAAGTGACATCTTCACAAATCTGCCTTTAGTAGGCCAAGCTTTCAGTGGGAAAAATAGGTGAGATTTACTTGGAGCTAAATAGGGCCCATAAGGAGGATGTTGGCACTGTTCCCAAGTCAGTCAGTCTCTCTGAATCCTAAAGCAGCATCTGGCCAGGCATCGTGGTGCAAGAGAAAAACCTCGCATGCGAGCAACCCAAGGGATGCCCCCCTTCTTGCCAAGCATATGTCAACATATACTACTAATAGGTGTTCATGACTTTCCATGGATGTAGCACCTGTAGTAGACAAGAACCACACAAAAGCCAATTGTTATATGCATTTACTTCCCATGATTGTGAATGCCATTTAGGAGCAATATACTGTGCATTTACATATATCTGAAGTCTCACCACCCCTCAAAACTGGTCATAGGAAATTGAGTAATCAGCACCATATCTCATTGTCCACTGTTACAGTGCAGCATGCTTCTCCACCTTTATTTGCCCCCTATTTATAGAATGTCTCTTATGTTAGCAAAAATTAAATTGCTTTGACTAAGACATTTCACAGGGTATTTGTGCATCCTCTTAAACTCCAGCAGATTTACAGAATTAATTTTGTGCACTTCAATTTTCCATGAATGACCAATATTGCTGAATAAAAATCCACATTTGGTAAAATGGCAAAGTGAATTCCATGGCATTTTCAACAAGTCTAATTGAGAGTTTCATCCTTGCATGGGCATAGCAAAGTTGATCACATTTATCCCAAGAAATCAGGAATGGTGGTAAGTACAATAATTCCTATTGTAACTAGGGCTGTCACGATAGGTCGATGCATCGATACCGCTATCGATAATTGGAGATATTGATAGTTTTTTCGACCATCGCGATGCATCGGCAAAAGATTTTAAAGGGGAAATGTCCCATTGGATCGAGGCGAGTACAGTTCAATATAGTCCATCCCGGCAGGGAAAGGAAGAAGCGGCGTGACCCGAATGGGCCTGCGATTTTTTATCACAATCAAATTCCGGAAATGCTGGGACTGACTATATGAAAGACGGGAAGGGGAAAAAAAAGTCGGATCGGAGACAGGAAGTGGGAAAGGAGAGGGGGGGAAGACTGAGAATATTATTTTTTTTTTAACGTCAGTTTCAGTCTCCGGCTCGATCTCATGAGGTGCATGCTGTGGTAGTGGACTGTTCTTATACTCCCTTCATTTCGAAATGGACATTGGTTAATCCCCTCTCTATGTCCTGTCTATCACTTTAGTATGCAGGCTTAACTTTCTTAATTTTTAACTTGCCTTAGGGCGTTTTTCTACCTGAGGTGAAATCGAAGTGAATGTGGACATTGCTTATTCTAGGGTTGTACCGATGTTTCGGCAACCGTCGGTTTGGCACCATCTGCCAGCGCCGATGTCCAAAGACAGTGTAGAATGAGGAAAATTAGTGCTGCCCTGATGCATCCATTGATGGATGGATGTCATCTTCGATGGTTGGTTGCATGGGTGATATGATTGACGGATAGCATAGTTGGTTTCATTACTCTTTACGAAGGTCACACCTTCCCCTTGCACCCCGGATCACAAGCGTGAGATAATAAAAGCTGGATAGAGGTCTGCACTCCGATCGCGGCAAGAAAAGATGGAATCCTCCACCCCCCCCCCCCCGATGCATCGATTCGCTATCGATAGTTTAGGTCGATGCATCGATGTTTTGAAAACTGCTATCGTGACAGCCCTAATTGTAACCTCCTGTCCAGTTTCATGTCTCATTTACTTTTATACTAAGGGACTTCACTTGGAGACTAATAATCAACTGGTTCTGAACTTACCATGACTCTCTCAATATACACTCAAAGAGAGAATAAGAGTGTCAATATACACTCTTTCATGGACACATATTTCAGCCACTGCTCAATTGGTGATTGGTCTATCCCACTTTGCATAAGAATTATGCTAGTTCTGAGTGACCAGTGCTTTGCTTTAGGATTCTTTTCATAACCAGTTCACTGACCCTCCACTGGGTCAGCAAACCAGTTAAACATTTTCAGAATGGCTGCACAATGAGCTATTATTTAAACCTGGATGATTATTTACCACAGAGATTCCTATTTGTTTTTGATTTTCTGCTGACATTTCACATTTACCTAGAATGACCATATCTATCCCACTTTAGAAGAGGGGATATCCTTGGCAACAACCCACTTCATGTTAAATGGGAAGAGTGGACAATTTCACAAATTCAGTATACCTTTCCTTTTTTGCTTGATGAAATTGTGTAAAGCCATCAATCCTGATTCATTTTCTAGGGATTGTTGAACTTTCAAATTTAAATGGCATTTTAAAACACCTGCCAAATAAAAGTAAAATTGACCTGGTCTGTAATATCCCGAGATGTGAAGCAAGGAGAGTCCAAGGAGCGCAAGCAATGAATAAGTTCTTCATCAAGAGTATGAATAAGTTCTTCATGAGTATCTTCAGAATTAGAAGGCAAGCTTGAGTGACAGAGCCAAGACAAGATATCCAATGCAGTCCACTTCACTTTCTTGATTGTCCTCTCCCTATCTTGCTTCTCTTGGCCACCTAGGATTTTAAAAAAATTCCATGGTAGTGAACCATTTTGAGGACTGGTTGCAAACCAGAGACAGGATGATTGAGAAAATGTAGAGATTTGCATATTGGAATATTCATGGGACCAGCAAACTTTATTCTATAACCTGGAACATTCCAATAACCGAAACTATACGAGGTCTGACAATAAAATAACGAGACTGACAACATTGTAATGCGTGTGGCAACACTGGGTTATTGGCGATTGCTGTAACCTGTCAGTGCATGTCTTAAGTCTCTGCAGTAACAAACTTGTTGTGATACTTCTAGTGATTGCAGAGCAATACCACTTTACCTAAGGTAGTGTTAGGGGCACTTGTAAAAAAATGCGTGATAATATTATGAACAAAGAATCAACATGAAATTTCTAATCAAACTCGGGAAAAAACCAACTGAAGTCTTTGATATGTTGAAACAAGTGTACGGAGATGAGGTTATGTCCAGAGCAAAATGTCTTTGAATGTTGTAAATGCTTTTCTAAAGGAAAGGAAGAAGTTGAATTTGACAGACAACCTGGATGTCCAACAACTTCAAAATCGGATGGAAACATTGAAAATGCAAGAACTCTGGTGTGAAGCGAGCGTCGTCTTATTGTCAGAACGATTGCAGAAGAACTGTGTATCAATAGAGAGACCGTACGATTGATTTTAATGGAAAGTTCAACATTTCAAAGACTTCAATTGGTTTTTTCCTGAGTTTGATTAGAAATTTCACGTTGATTCTTTGTTCATAATATTATCACCCATTTTTTTATGAGTGCCCCTAACATTACTTTACTTAAAGTGGTACTGCTCTGTTATCACTAGAAGTACCATGACAAGTTTGTTACTGCAGAGACTTAAGACATGCACTGACAGGTTACAGCAATCGCCAGTAACCCAGTGTTGCCACACGCATTAGTGTTGTCAGTCTCGTTATTTTATTGTCAGACCTCGTATGTTGTATTGTACCATTAATCAGGACCATGCAATGGTATTCCATTAAGTGGAGCATTCCTTTAAGCAGTATTTCATTATGTGGAGTCGACTGTACTTTGAAAAGGATAATCATGAAAAGCTTAAACAAAAGCTAAAAGATGCAGAAATACTTCAAATTTTGCACCACATGGATACCAAGTTCAAATCCATACCATTGGTGGTGTAGGAGTCCCATAAACATAAATGGCAGATTTAATGGGAGCTCAGAAAGCACTAGGCATTTCTTGGTTTGAAGAAACATGTGGAATACTGTTTTCATACAAAATATGGGATGCAACCCCCATCAAGACCATTAATTTATGCTTGACATAAACAGTTCTTTCTCAATCAACCAAGTAGAAATGCCAAAATAATCAGGAAGGGAATGGTGAAATTTTCAAAAAGAACATGTCCAAATAAATCATCAAGAGGAAAAATATAGATAAAAAATTGTGATTTCATAATAATCTGCACAACCATAAGTGATACATTGTATAGGATTTTTATTGGATACATCCAAGATATCGGGCAATACAGGTGCATCTGGGGTCAGATAACTGTTCATGAAGGCCATACTGTTAACTTTCAGTATAACAAACACTGATATAATGAAAAACCAGTTATAACGAAATCCCTGACATTGCCCTGGCAAACGCCCATAGACATTCATGTTAAAAATTTGGATATAACGAAATCGGATATAAGGAAATTTCCAATATAACGAAAGAATTTCTGTGTCCCCAATTAAAAACTACACAGGATATAATGAATTTTACCACTTCCAGAAGAAAATAATTTTTTTTCTCCCTCTTGACAGAAGTGCAGAAGCATCAGTCCTTATCTCTATTTAGCCCTCCATCTCAGCCTTCAGCTGCATGGTCTACGAGAACCAAGGATTTGGCATGTGCAGAATGTGCGTGATAGGGGGAATGTGAATGTGTGTGTGTGTGTGGCAGAGGATGTGAACACAGAAGAATGCATGTGAACGAAGCATTTCAGTGTTTGCACTCAACAGATTTTTGTCAATCTCCCTTGTTCCATTGATCCCATGCAAGTTTCATTTCACAGGCTTTCAGAGGCCCATGCCCTTTACACAGTAGAAGCTTTTACATGTGTAACCATTCCCCCACGTAATTTATTTTGGCACAAATCCAATGGCGATGTAGCAGGAAGCATCTGAAGTTGCTTTTCACAGTGTAAGGGTTAAGACATCAGCTGCCAATGCAATTTCTGATGCTTTAACTGCAATGCCACATGACCCACCAGCAGATATGTGGCAGTGTAGGTGTCAAAAGTATTGTCATCCATGAAATCCTCAAAAGCTATAGGCCCCCCCCCCCCAAGTACACCCATGGGATAATAATAATATATTCATATATACACAGGCATAATGGGATCCGGTTCCGTAAATGGAGATATAGGTGAGGCAAAAGTCAGTTTACCGAAAGTGCATGATTGTAATATATTATTAAAGGTAATAAATAAACCCATGTTTGTTTTCTACCATTCCTGCAGAAGAAACACACGTTGCTCCATTGTTAGTTTCATACGTTGCTCCATTTCCAATTTCCAATTTTAATTTCAATTTTAAAATCTTAATCTGGAATAAACAAAAACAAAAATTAAAAACACGTGCTTACGGTAAACTGACTTTTGCCCCACCCTGTATTTGACTCTCTCCGAATGTGACAAAAACCCAATTTTTACAAAATAATTCCAGCAGCTTCATCAACTTCATTATAACGAGAGTCAACCATGCTTCTTTTTAAGCCTTGAATGTGGTGCACCTTCTCTATCAGAAAGTCTGCATATACATAAGGATTTGTATATCCTGAGAATTAACCCATTTCACTGGACATCCAACATCCTGTCTCACCAGATTGGATATCCAGCAAAGTTACTGGATGTAGTAAAAATATACAAGGGACGATCCAAAAGTTCCTGCCCTGAAGTGGTACAAAGGATTGGAAAAGGCCTGAAGTTGGTTCCCATATTCCTTCATGCTGTTCGGTTATTTCAAATGTCAACTATGTCAAATATCACATTTATTTATATATCATGGCAGAAACTTTTGGAGCACCCATATCTGGTACATCACTAATAAAGCAAGAAAGCCTTTTCTCCAATTGATGAAATATCCATCATTACAATGTACAAGAAATTGGATCAAGGATCCCTGGATTGGTACAATTTTCTTCCAGCATCATTGTATCACTTGGATATGGGCTGAGTGAGTGGACCAATTTATTATTCTTTGTCTTCCATACAGACACGCAACCACACAATGAGACAGGTGTTGAAGAAAGATTACCATTTCCTGACACTAGAGTGATCCAATACAATGTTATCATTTTTGCTGGGATCCTTACCATGCTTCACATTTCTTCTAGATATATGCTCTGGACTATCTCCTTCAGAATGTGGTTGGCTGGTTGATGAATCCGAGTCACTGTCCTCTGATGGGCATCTGCTTCCTAAATATTCAGTGCTATCAGTTTTGGATCAGTCATCTGTGAAGACTGATCCAAAACTGATCCAAGACAAAAGCTACTTGAGGCTTTCCAGAACCTACTTAAGGAAGGAAATGAAGAGCTGGAGAAGATCTTGAAAAGCCTGGAATAGAAAGACAAGGGAATGGCAGCATGCCATACACTGGTGCGAATTTCCACCCTGCATTGCACAAATGATGAGGAGACAACTGCCATGCATTGGATAGTAACAAGGAGTCTATCCAGATCCCCTCTTGCCATTTCGTGGAGGCAATCACTCACTTTTCCCAAAACATGATGAATAAGCTGGGAAATCCTGGAAGTAAGGAAAACAAGGAACCTCTTTGAAGTTGCCATCAGCTTAAGAATCATCAACACATGGCAAGTATGTAGATGAGCAAATATATACAGTATACTCCTATATGAGAATCATGGCTCACGGATGAGTGGACAAGTCATCCTTGGCCAGTGCTCCATGCTGAAGCAGAAGACAAAGAAGATGACAGAGAAGGAAGCAGAGACATATGACAGTGTGTGGAACTTCCACAGCAGCTACATCTGCCATGAACTCTCGCACCATTTCATCCACCTCTTTGAGCAATGCAGTCACCATCACAGGATCCACATGAATCATTACACTCTCCTCTCCATCACCCTGTTTCTTCTTTGGATGATATCCAATGATGAAATTGGTCAGATGGATCCTCCGTGCAAGATCCATCAAGCTTTCATTGTTGCTTCCCATATCATCATGAGGAAAATCACATAGCAAGTCCTTGGCTTTGGTTTGATTTTTGGCAATGCACACAAGCACAAGTTTGGCAGCTTTCCTTAGGTGTTCTTTATACCAAGGACACCCACATGGCATGAGCTTGGAGTCCTGGAAGAGGAGCCAGTGCAAAATAACATGCACAGTTTTCTGTGGTCTTCCCAATGAGACTGCAGCACCTTGCGGTGGGTGTGGAGGAACCCGCATTTCAGAGAGGAGGGTGTACAGAGTCAAGAGAGAGGCAGGATTCACAGACATCTTGGATGATGTGTAGAGGGAAAGGAGAGTGTAATAATCGCCTGCCAATTCACACTTTAAAAGGGTGCAGAGCAACTTGTGCCCCTCTTCCAAGTTGGTTCCTGCCATCACCCTCCTAGTCATTCACAGACATGAAGCACCAAGTGAGTTAAATGATACAATTTTAAATTCATAGAGATGGGCACATCTCAATTTGAGATGCTGTCAAGTACTTACTGATAATTCCATCACAACCATCAAATCATCAATCTTGCAATAATTCAGCACTAGGTAAACCTAATCAAATAAAATTTGGGATCCAAGTCTAAATCATGGAAAAACCTGGAAATCACTTACATAAATCCACACACTCATGTTCAGTGGTTGTTGGAATGTCATCAGTAATATTTTGCCTACCAAATTATGACATGGCTAACTCCTTGGAAAATAACATTTAAAGAAACATTTTCTCATAGAACATAAGAAACAGAACTCAACAATGATTCAATGAAACAACCAAAAATTTGAAGACCATCCCACACCACCACTCTTTCATCAATTAGATCAACTCAAAAAGAATCACAAGTTGAGATCTGCCCACCACTATTGCACTCCTGAGGATTACCTGAATGTGATATCATATGAGGACTGCCAGTAAGAATTCATGGCAGTAGCTCCGTAACCAGAGACACAAGACCCAAGCTTCTTCGTATGAAGGTAGCTGGCAAGCAAGGAGAGACACATCATGCAAGTACCCAGAGCAGTCTCAAGGGTGACCTCATTCATGACCATCAACAATCCTGCCTGGATGTCCACGAAAAGAGAAAGGTTCTCACCCAATACCTCTGGGTGATTACACAACAGGCTCTCCAATACTTTCAACCTGTAAATATAGAAAAAATTACATGATCATTAGATGAGCTGAGTAGGTATTTGGTATTCCAGGAGGTTGTCTATGGGTACAAGAGATATCAATCATATGGCCTGTCCTTTCATTTGAATGTGAAGTCCCATAAACAAGTCCCAGTCCCAGATGACTTTCCTAATATTCACAGGAAGTTTCTGCCAGTACATTCTCCTTTCTTGAATCTGACAGAACATGCCCAAATAATCCATCAGAAGTGCTTTGTGTGGTTTTGCCATGCACAAACATACTTGATCAGATCCCAAAGGCAAAAACGTATCAATGGGTAGTATCAGTGTCAATGTCCATGTGTTTTCCTTGGCATAATAAAATAATGATCATTCGCCAAAAATACCCTATGCATTTATGCCCTTTCCTTCCCTATTCCCCATTAATTATCAAAAAAAGGAGATTCTTTTCAGCTGTCGAAATTGAAATGGCGAATGCCTAAATTGAAAGTCATCTGCCGAAATTAAATGGGAAAATGGGGAGTAGACAAGAGTGCTGTCAAATTTGAAAGGACTTATGCCTAAATTACTCAGGAAAACCTATAATAAATTTACACATATCAATTGCCAACAGATGCAATGGCCAGTGCCAGAATGTGCAGTGCAACCCAAGCATTGGCAGGTAACCAGTAATACATGAAATATGATAGCACCTTTAACTCTAAAACACAGCATTCCCTTTCCTGTCATAATTTTGGTTGATTTGGGTGGAAGATATCTCACCAGACCCAAATCATGTGTGGGCGCTTGATGTTTTCAGAGATCATGTCAAGAAGGACGTGAAGTTTGATTTCCACCTTCCTGCGCTTGGATGGCTTGGTGGAATCCAAGAGAGTTGTCAGATCCAGGTCAGTTGCATCCAATGCCCCACCATCTCCATCTCCATGACCATACTGGTACATCTACAGAAAAAAAAATAAGTGAAACATCCTTCTTGCACTCACTCTGCAGGGGAGGAGGGAGGGGAAGAGAGGGAGAAAGTAGCATTCAGCTAGCCTTCCATGTGGTCTTCCATTCCACATACAGCTTTTGATATTTATTGGCTTCACCATCAGACACTTTCAAACTAAACTTTAATTCACCCTCATTCATTCCTAGAGCCATGTCAAAGCTGAATTTTAGCAAAATGTGTTTGACATACTTTTTGAACAGCAAACACAAATTTACCCATGTTTGTGGCTGAATAATTTCATTTCTGGACAGTCGAGTGATGTTGAAAAGCTAATTTCTCATAACCACCAAAGCCAAAATGTTCACAAAAAGTACAAACCCATTTCCTGCTGGGAAAAATGTTGATGTTGACATATTAATATTTACCTATTCAATATGCAACACAAAACTCTGCTTTGGGAAATTCTTTTAAACTTCAAAAACAATTCCTCCAGGCATTTAGGCTTTCTGTTGTTTGCACATTTGCAGGCATACCTCAAGTGAGCCCCAGTGACCAACACACAATAATTGAGGAGTTCTCTAGAAAAAGGGCATAAGTGCCTATACGCCCCTTTTCCATATTCATGTCCATGGGCTGATTTAGGTGACTTGTCATAGGGTGGTCAGCAGATAGTTAACCTTTATTGTACGGCATTTAAATGCCCGTGTTGCTTCACAGCCACTATTTAACTGCAGGTATTTAAGTGCGAAGTGCAAACACAAACTAGCTTTCTGGGAAAAATTAATTCCTCATAAACTATTGATGATAAAACAATGAAATGAAAACCATATTTATAAAAACAATTCTGGCTAAAACATTTCTGGTCTGGCTAAAACATTTCTGGTCTGGCAATACATTTAGCAGTAAGTATACTTACCTTTTGGCCTATGAAGGTTAATATGCATATTCAGCAAAGGAAAAGCAGATTTTTCTATGCCTACACTACATGGCATGCCAAATGCCTGACAATTTCAATATGGCCACCTCCATTAATATTTCATTAGCATCTACATCACTGAACGATTTTTGTGGAATAATTCCATTCTTTCGAATTGAAAGTGAGAATGAGGAAGAAACCAGAGACAGGAGGAAAGGGAAAGAGGCCCAGTCATCAATGCCTCTGGAAGGATGCAAGAAGTTGGCAATATCTATGAAACAGTTGGAAATTCAGATGAATAAATTAATAATGAATCACAGATGAGTAATTTTTGAATGAATATTGTCCTGAATAGTCACATTTTAATTGCAATTCTCTGAGGAAAATTTGATTTGAAATCTGTAGATGTATTTATTAGTAAATTACGATTTTTAACTGAAAAGAGGTGGTGAATGACTGGTTGGAAAAAGCTCCAGCAGTGCAGATATGGAAAAAAAGGGCAAACATGCATAAACACTTCCTGCCTGCATCCCTGCAATGTGAGATAATAAAAAAATTCGTTGAAACCCCAAATTCAATTGGTAAAAGGTCTAAGATACAAGTAGACTGAAAACTGAGTTTTTTACCAGCTGCAGATTAGTTATGGGAGGTTCTTGCTGTTTATCTCGAATTGCATCATACACCCTTTTTCCAGAGAACTCCTTAACTGCTCTCTACCATGAGCTCAATAGGAAGCAAAATGAATCATGGCTTACATGCCCCCCTACCGGTTCCTGGTCAATTCCCCGAATGGTTATTTCCCCAATGGTCAATTCCCCAAAAGGACAGTTCCCTGTTAGGGATTTCCCCAAAGGAAATGGATTGGTTCCCATTTAGGTTTCCTGTCTCACACATCATGCATGGGGGAGTGAGGGGGTGGGGAGATGCAGCCACCCCCCAACCGAGCCAGAACCAAATGGAGGGTGGTCTAGGCAAATGGAAGGAAAGGGGAAAGTTGCTAGTTACAATGCTAGTTAGATCATTGATGAAGATTCTCACAGGAAAGGGAAAAAGATGAAAAGGCGACAGAAACAATTGTAAGATAATTCTCTCAGCCACCAGAGGTGAGTCAATCGACAAGACGTCTATCAAAATCTAAAACGGGGAGAAGTTGGGTGGCTTAAGAATCAGATCATTAAGTGGTCAGTTCTAGTTTGAGAGTTTGAGTATTCATGGAGTTCATGAAGAGCAAAAAGGGCAAGAATCTTTTTGTTCTTGAGGGCTATCTGCTCACACAGAACAAGATGAGCAAGGATGGACAAAGAACGTATTGGGAGTGCCTCTATAGAAGATACAAAGGAAACTGCAATTTTCAGAGCTACAACTGAAGGAGAGCAGGTTGTCAGCAGGCGAGGGCAACATCAGCATGTTCCAGAACCAGGAAAATTACAAGCCCGCAAGGTGATCGCAAAATATCGTGAATGATGTACCTCTTCAGAGACAAACAAGGGTGTGAGCTATAAATCGACCCCAAGACAAGAAGGAGATGGATACAGACGATAGCCCTCCTTCCGCAACCGTGAGATGGGAAAACTGCGATCGGGGAACTGACCATTCAGGGAACTGTCCTGTTGGGGAAATACCGTATTTACTCCAGTATAGTGCGCCACCGTGTATAAGACGCACCCCCGCTTTTGAGGTCCCAATTTGGGTAAAAAAAAAAGATTCCCCGCGTATACGGTGCACCCCCCTATTTTGTAGTGAAAAGTGTCAGACAAGGGAGATGAATAAGGGGTAAAGCCTGTCTTGAGGTAGGTCGAACCTCGTTTCTTATTCACTGTCCTGACCTTTATCGAGGGGGGGCACAATATCCCTAACGTTTGTTTTATTATCCGTGAAAACGGATGGAAATATACGGCAAAATAACACAGCTGCAGAGAAATCCATGTGATTCAGGAAGCGAAGGAGCTGGGCATCCGTGCAATAGGTCATAAGTATGACATCGAGGAAAGTTGTATACAGAAGCGGATGGAGGCGAAGGCGAAATTAAGCCCGGCTCTAAAGAATCTCATGGCCTTTCGTGGGGAAAAAGGAATAATTTCCGGTAATCAAGAAGGGAGTGACCGAGAGTGATGGAGACGTGAACCCATACGATTTCGAGAGCAAACGGGATCTCCCATCAAAAATTCAATGCATCATGAGGTTGAACGACACGATTCATAAGCAAGTTGGATTTTCTGTTCGTCAGAAAACGTCAGCAGCTTTCCATGAGAAATTATTGTCTCTGGAACGGCCCCTCAGAGGAGGATGTGAGCTCCGTGAAGCAATTTTCCACACCGCCAGACACCTCAGATTCCGATTCCGATACTGAATGAAGTCCGCGAATCGACGTAGACACTCCCTGTTTACTGTTTTATAATTATTATATTTCTCCTGTTCTGACTGACTGCAGACAGTTTCCGCCTCAAATTAGTGATCAATGAGTTATAGATACGCTGAAAATTTTTTTCTCGAAAAAGAGACATTTTTCCTCGAGTATAAGACGCACCCCCTCATCGAACACAATAAAATATGTAAAAAAAATGTGCCTTATACATGAGTAAATATGGCAACCATTCAGGGAATTGACCATTGGGGAATTAACCAGACACCACCCCTACCCATCCTCTACTGAAAAAAAAAACTGAACAGTTAGCCACCCAGCATGTATTAAGAATTCAATATGATGAGGAGACCAGGAAGTAGTAGGTTAAAGTCACAAAAAAAAGGGATGACATTATCTAACCTCATATCTAGGTAAAATATAACTGGCAGGATTTGACACATGTACATGCAACTCATGTCTGAGGAAGTTAAAACCAAGACAGGTTAACACCTGTCTTTCTGAATCTCCTAAAAGTGAATGTCAAGCAGGCCTGAATTAATCAGGTATCTGGTTAGGTTTCAGAGAAACACATAAAAAAATGTAATGCTATCAACATTGATGAGCAACATAATTCAATTGAACATTTCTTAGTACTCGAACTGTCATGAGGAAAGGCATATTGCCAAAATTAAGTATGCATTAAATGGGGCCACAACACATAAGCCATCTTGAGTCAACTGACAGCAGTCAACTTGCTGACCTTCAATGTACAAGAACTCCAGAAAGATATAGACTTTTAAGAAACATAGTTCCTCAATAAAAAAAGAGCCTGAAACAGACTTGCAATTGGTAAAATATGCTACACCCTTTTGTTGGGTGAGCACTTGGTCTAACTTTGAGGTGGTATTTATTTTTAGACATAAACTGTGAACTGGAAATATCTAGTCAAAAACTTAACTTTAAGGGAGAGAAAATGGTGCAAAATAGACCTCAGGCCACCTTCCTTGTTCTGGCTGCAACTGATTTGCCAGTGAGTGAATTTTAAAATTCTCACCCTTTCTCATTTTAAATGAGTTCACAGACTGCAAGAGTCATATCAGGAAGACATCTTTTGCAAAAGGTAAACCAGATGTCTATCATATAGCATAAACAAACTTGACAGCAACAACAATTATGTAGACATTCAAGTGTTCACCATCCTTTGCACTCCATTTTTGAATGAGGCCATATGGCAAGGAATAAGCACTTTCCACCTACTGAAAAGCAAAAAAATTATTAGCCTCTTGACATATTTTTTAAACAGAAAATTTGTCAATTGTTCAAGTCTTCAGTGTTAACTTGAACCAATGATGTTAGGCAACTATACATGGGTAATACAGAAGCTTTGTTGCATAATTCAAACCAAAGCAGATGTCTCTACCAGAATTATACAATTAAAAATTAATGGGTGAAATTGCCTTTTGATATCACTATCTTGAATCTTGAAAAAAATGTTCAATTGAAAGAAGGTGCAGCAATAGTGTATGCTGTTAAATGAAGGCAAGGCAATTCAGTTGTCTACCATAAATATTATGCCCAGAAATGGTTCAAATTAGCTCAACAGTGAAATGAAACAGTAAGAAAAATTCATGCTGAACCGAGTCCAGCAATAGAGCGGAAGAGTGATGGGCAAAGTTGGAGCAAATATAGCGTTTATTGAGATAATTTGCATGATTTATGCTAAGTAGGTCCAATATGGCCACCTGAGTGCAAAAAAATGAACTTTTTTCAAACAGTAATTCTCACAGATGGTTCAAATATATTTGATAGAATTGATGAGTGTTGCAGTTTGAATCCTTAAACATGTCCTGAGGGAAATGGTTTCTCGAGAAATGGGTGATTTTTTAAAAATGATTTTTTTTTTCTATTTTTAGCGATTTTTAAAATTACTGATATGCATATTCATTGGTACTAAAAAGTGCTAAAGGATTGGGTAAATGAAATAAGCTACCATCATTCCTTGGGGGAACATTCAAGGTAGCCCTCAGCCAAAAATGAAGGATATAGGTGTATTACATGAAAAGTTATGCTGTTCAGAGCAATGCCTGTCAGCTGAAAATCGCAACCCAAGTGGTTGCCAGGGACAACAGGTTAAGGACATTGATAACTAATTAAGCTAATTAACCATTATTTCTTTATATTTTCAACCTTTTTATGGTGATATTATGAATCTGCATGAGTTGAAGTATGATCATATCCAATTTTTGTGGAAACGATATTTTTCTTTAAAAAAAAATGGTGATTCAAAAGCAGGTCTGCTACCTTAACCCTATGCATCATGGGATTATTTTGTAAGATTTATTTTTAGCAGTTTAAGGGTTTCACATGTCCTAAATGTTGCCAAGGAATGTCTGAAAAATTTTCCCAATTTTTGCATGCCCACTACTGGTTGAACCATGTGTGTGTTTCTGAACACCTCTATGACTGTAAGGGGAAAAAAAAAAGAAGGAAAAACTCCACATATGTTCAGAAGTAAACCTGTGTTTTCTGTGTTTCCAAACACACCACTGAAACGTCCTGTTACCAACCAATACATAAGAAAAAACTTGAAAAGTTGTCATGCCTATATGACAACCATAACAACAGCATACCATTTCTTCTTACCTTCATGTTCACTCTTTCTGCTTCTACAAAATTTTTTACATTTTCTTTTTTTTTTGTTTCCTTTGCTTTGGGCAATACAACCTCCCTCAACAACAGCCCAAGCAACGATGAAGTGTAGCTTGTAGTCAGCAAGCAGCCTGGATAGCACCAGTGATGCTGTGATACACTGGAGGGGCAGCAGCACCGTCCACTGCACAGCAAATGCTAGAAACTATTATGTGTTTCAAAACACCTCTATGATGCATAGGGTTAAGACAGTCTTGGACCATGTGGGAGTTAAAGATGTAGGCCTGAATACATAAACCTCATTTAGGTGAGATAAAGGGGCCTTTAAGCTGAAGAGCTCATTTCCCCCCATAGGAACCCACATATTCTTAAGGGACCATTAACTAAAGGGGGTCCCAGGATTCAGGGTGTAGACTTTCCTTTTTCATTTGAAATTTCTTCCAATTAGCTGGATTGAGGATGATAGAATCTTATTGAACTGGAATGAGGATATGCCTCCAAAGTATGGTCCTACCAGGGCAAAGACATCTGATGTCAGTTGAAGGAAATTGTTAGAGAGTTGAGTCACACTGGTCAAGGAATCAAGGGTGCGAAAGAGGAAATTGTAGATCTTCAACAGAAGTCGACACCATGGGTTGGCCCGGTCAAAACTATGGACTGTCTCTGGGGCATGGATGATAACAAGCAGCCGAAGGACTCGATACACACTCTCCTGGAAGACATCAATGGGTTGGCTTCACAGAATTTCAAATGAAGGCACTTCAAGGTTTGAAATACCCAACATAACATTCACCTGCATTTGATGAAATTTGAAGAACAAAACTTAATTCCCTTCCCTGTGATCATAATTTAATGAGCAGGGATGTTACGATATTAAAATTGATTAACATCTTGATAATTTTAAAAGATTTTCTTGATTCTGCTTTCTGATACTCAATATCGGATAATGGAGCAATCCCTTAATGGAACTGCTAATAATATGAATTTGAAAATGAAACTGAGATAGCATGGTTCTACCTCTCCTTTCAAGAATGGCTCTTCTGGAACCAAAATTCATTGCTATAGCCATTTTCTCCTTATATGACTGGTTAGCCTTGGCCTTGCCATGTCCTATAACTCCTTTATTCCAAATTTATATTTTCTCCAATGTTGAGCATAGGATGGGCAAAGTTCCAGACTTAGGTCAGGCTCTTGCAGATATAATATCCACATAGTATATGTTTAGTATTGGCCTACTCTAAGCTAGGTTATGTTAATCTATTTTTTCTTATTGTATTCAATATAGAGTGAGGCAGAAAAAAGGCAAATGAAACTGTAATTTAGCAATCAGAACATAATTTATTAAATATATTATATACAGGGTGTCCCATAAATCACTTGGGGAATCGATATTAATGTAATTTGGGAATGATGTAAGATATATTGGGTTGGTAAAATGTTTGTTAATCTGCTATCTAGTTTTACTGTCTAACTTTTTTGTTTCTCAGATTAGTTCCAGATAGACATGAAAAATGTCAATGCCAGAACGAGTCAATATGGTTCTTTTGATGGGCAAGTTTTGAATCTGCAACACAAACTAGACATGAATTCTGGCACATGTATCCTAGTGAGTCCTTGAGTGAAAACAAAACACATGACAATCTAAAAAAGTTCCACAAAGCTGACAGGGTCTAGGATAAGAAGCAGATGTCCAGTCTTTGCAGAATATGGAAAAGACATTGTGATCAATGCATTTGTGAGAAATCCTAGAAAATCCACCAGCCAGAGAGTGTCACAATTAGGAATTCCTAAACCATACAACTTTATGCAGATTAATGCAAAGCCTTTTCATAATTCTATGGACTGGCATTTAGGGAATTTCCTATTGTGATGCTCCCAAACAGATTGATTTTGTAGGACCCCCTCATACTTGCATAGTTCACAATGTCCTTTCTTTCATTTGAAAGGAACAGACTGCTACTTCTTTTATAATGGCCACTGCCAGTTTTGCAGAAACTTTTGGGAATGCCATGGATTGTCTTTACACTAACAGCTTCACCAGGTTACACATGCTGGAATTCACATCTGGCTCATGTTGCAGATTCAAACTTCCAACCACAGAACCAGACTGACTTGTTCTGACAAAAGCATTTTTTATGCTTATCTGGGACATATCTGATAAACAAAAATGTTGTCTGTAAAACTTATTAAATACCAGATTGACATATATCTTACAGACTCAAAATATCTTATATCATTTACAAACTACATTTGTATCAAATCCCCACGTGACTTATGGGACACCCAGCACTACACACTATAGCACATAGCAAGTTCAGTTATCATTATGTTCCCCATTGTGCACAATCACACATTCAATACACTCACCACCATACTGAAGACACATTTCCATAAGTTGGATCATATAGACGTACATAATAGATAACACAAATAAGGAATACATTTACATTTACCATTTTTCTGTCTCACCCTGTATGTAAAAAGGTAAATCTAAGTAGATCAATACCTTTGGATTTCTCATCTTTTCTTTCCTTTTTTTTTGTCTTTCATCTGTCTGTGCTAGCTTCCAGCTTCCCACGATACTGTGGCATGGCACATAATAGACTCTGGATTGTGCACAATTCTACACAAAGTCGAAAATTAGATATTCCTTCATCTTGTGCACACTGTCAATTCCTGCGAACACTGCATACAAATCTCAACTTTGTTATGTGAACACTAATTTCAAACAAGGACTGAACTTCCACTCCAACTTTCAATGCAGAATGCGCTGCCCAACTTAATGGCAAGAAGGGTGAACGTCCAGCAAACCTTCTTGCCCATGTGTAGAAGAGCCTATGGTTTTCTTTCAATCAGGCATTGGTATACTTCAGACATCTGCAAACTTCACCAGCTTTGGTACACCCAAACTTCTATCCCTGTGTCAGGATGCACATATTTCACTGGTCACTAGCAATCTCCACTCACAAGAGATCTAACTTCATTGCTCACCATTGAACTCTTGCAACTGTATCTAAGGAAAATCTGTTACTGGCCAAGGAGGGAATGAGTCCCTGAACTGGAAGGAGTTTACCAGTTTGTGTAATGTCACCAGTTCATGACATTCCCCATCACCCCTTATCACTTCCCCCCACTATCACTTTTCTGGTTTATCTCATCTGAGATTAGAAAGGTGATACATGATGCCTACCTATATAAGCTACCTATATATATGTTCATGCTGCTTAAGAAGCAGAATTTTTATAGTTTTGAGTTACCAAAGAATAACAGTCTGTGATCCAGATAAGGCCCTTCTATTGACTCACCTTTGAGATGCTTCTTCCACCATTCAGCAGCAGCCAGTTGCCACACAAAGTCTCCCTATGGGGATTGCTGGTGACAAGTGCATCCTCACAAAGGGACAAAAATTTGCAGATGTGATTGCAAGGAAAAAGGCAATCAAGGGTTCATCTACGCATGACTAGATCTGCTGGACATTCATTCTACTTGCCATTACATTGGGTAGCACGTTCCGCGCTGAGCATGGGAGTCCTGCTGCCAGTCACAATGACTTCCTCTCCCATCTGGGAAAATACCGCTCACTTCTACAGTGACAGCTGCAGGTTGCAGAATAGTAACATACAATACCCACAACTGATCCATTCACAATTATGAATTCTAACATCACTCCAAAAAGTGTGCATGATTGGTGTGCATGGCACAAAGCCAGGTGTGCACAAGACAAAGGAATACCCAAAATTTTCATCTGAAGAATTTTCCATTCTTCCTTCTTCTTAACTTGTTTGGTACTATAGCTGTACCAGTATGACCAAGTATGCACGATCCCTCCTCTATCTGCATCAACTCCTGATTCCCCAATTACCACACCCTAAAGCAATAATAAGGTAGGCACCCCAAGGAAAAAACCTGACTGGGAAGCATAAACACACATAAAAGACTCTGTACCCAAAGGGTTAATACTCATGGCTACCAATTATTATACATTTTGCTACTGCATAAAGATGTATTAAAAGTTCAGGTCAATGTATGCATTTTTTCAAAATTCTCAAAGCTATAAATCCTTAATTGTAATATGCAGTTTTACAGTAGCCAACATGATGCCCAATGTTGAAAGACCTGCATGTCAATGATGCAGACTGGCATGCTGTATTGAAATTATAAGAACAGACAATCATCAAAATTGGAGAATGAAATAACTAAATATCAAATGGAAGGTATTCATTGAAATTTCTAATATTAACACTGATATAATGCTGTTTGAATCAATTTTTAATGACAGCTTCTGGTTCTCACCCACTCATAGGACAATGCAAAATGAAAACTGCTGACAACAAAATATTTCCATGAACAATTATGAATGCTGCTGACCAAAAGAAATTGATCAAAAGTGTAAAATAAATTGTCAAAGTCAATCATCAATCTGAAGTACCCTATGATAATGATTTCATGCCAATTTGATCCAAGGGAAACCATACTCCTACTTGCAATCAATTCTGGAAGCAAATCAATTCATACTATTTTGTACATGACCAGATGGCATAATTTAGAATAATGTAATACTCATCCATGACTCAACATATTAAATACATTCAGAATCTTAGACAAAGTTAAGCTATATGGGCAATTGACCTGGTTCCCTTATTAAAATTTTGTTTGCCATCTTCAAACACGGTCAGTTTAAAAAGCTAGCTACTTTACAGAGCAATGGAGATGAAATCATATGGCCATGATGCACCAAACCTTGAGACGGCCTTGGTAGTCCTTCCTGGTGATGCGCAGCAATGGAACCAAGATATCCTGGGCCAAGCTGGACACCTGATGTCGGCATGACACAGCAACCTATAAAGGATGTCTGTATTTTTTAATCAAAATTTCAAATCTGCTTTCATTTTTACAGTTTCATGATCAATAATCATCAAAATATATTCAATATTAGTAAATAAAATCATTTCCCTGAAGAGACTCCTGCATGAAACATGAGGTTTTCTAAGAAGTTAATCAGCTCAAAATACATAAGAGGTTTTCAGCAGTGATAGGCAGGTTTTTTTTTATTGAAAGGGTCTACAGCCAAGTTTGAAAGAAAGAAACAGAACTCCTAAATTGCATTTGCATTTGTATGTAAGTTACTGGAATGCTAAATTCATGCAGAGTAACTCACCCTCTCCAGAAACAAAAGCAGACCAGATACCAAGGCTTCACTCAAATGAAAATCATCCACCAAATGGGGATCTTGGAATGCAGTTCGATAGAATGGAAACAAGTGCAATGGCATATAGGATTCCATTGGTTTCATGCTGCAACTCCGATGAATAAGCAGCTGAACGGCAGATGCAACATCTGATTTCCTGAGCCGCTCTGGCAAATGCTCATACATTGAGATATACCTCTTCAGCAGCTCTGGAGATAACATTATCATATTTAAAATTTTCTTTCAAATCCATTTTTTTGCCAAAGAAGATTGGATTCCAAAGGGTGCTCACTTTGATATTTCTTCAACTCAATCTTGGAATAGTAGACAGGCTTTCCTAAGATGTGTTTCACCAGAACAAGGGTAAATAAATCACCAAAGTTGTGCAATACAAAAGGTGAATGATCTCCCATTTCAATGAGAGAAAAGAGCTGATCAAGAGACAAGTTCGGGCTGCCTGAAACAAAAATGAATCACAAACCTTCATATTCAAACAAGGCAAAAGTGTTAAAATGGGGAAATCCCCTGATATCAGACAAACTTAATAATAAATAAGGTAATTTGGGGGAATATGGTCCAACAAAATGAAACCTGGTCATAACAGCCCACAAAGTCAAATTTGACTTTTGCAATGTTTCTAAAATATTGATTGATATCTCCTTTACTAAATCCCACCAAGGCACATGTAAAAAAACCCATGGATAACCCATGGATATTGCCAGGGCCGATGCGAGTACCCCTGCGTCCCCTGCGGCCACAGGGAGCCCACGCAGAATCCAGGGGCCCCCAGCCCCAAGAGGAATAAATAAATAATAATAAGATATGAAGAATGAAAGAAACAAGAAAAAACTTTGAAACGCTGCGAGTTATTCCGAAAGAGATCCAAGCTCTGAATGAGGCGAAGAATACTCCTTGGTCTTCCTACTCAGGACAGGTGAGAAGACTGAGCTGGGCGAAATCTGTCACCGTCCCAAAGCATGAAAAGTTATTATTTTTTTATTTTCATTCCTCCATAATTTCTGCATGAAATCCTCGTGCTTGGAGGCACTTGAGGTGAGAAAGGTGTCAGAGTAGAAAGGTCTACCTTGTTTTCGTCCCCTTGTCTCCCTTGATCAAGTTGTCACATTTGAATTTAACAAAATATGGACATATGAAAATGTGCACAAATATTCGAAGCATACTTGTGCATGCAGCTATGTCACAGATACCCAGAGCCATCTTAAGCCAAGCCACCAATTGATATTAAGAGAGTGTGGCCTACAGCTTTTGACTTATGGAAAAGAGCCGTTTTAGCTGTAATTAAGCTTTATTAATTAAAAAAATCTCAACAAGTTCATTATATGGACAAAACAAAGTCCATATTAAGACCAGTTTGCAGTATCTGAAATATGTACCATCGATCCTAATTATGAAAGGGTGGCAACCCTAATCATTGATGGTACCCATGCAAAGCCTAGGCACATTTTGCCAAGGTTAACCTCAATAGCTGAACGACTTCGTCAATGAACTTCGCAATCTGGTACACTTCTACCAGAGCCACTTGATGCTCTTGGAACTCCGCGATTCATTCGCAAGAGTAGTCAGGCCTGTGTATCCCAACGTGTCCATCGCTCTTGGAGTGCTATTCAAGGCTTCAGTGAGAGTTGCATCTGTAGAAAGAAACCTCTCCAAACCGAAACAGTTTATAATTTATCTAAGATGAAGCATGCCACAAGAATGCCTGACAGGACTAGCTATACTCTCTATCAAGAAGGAGGTCAGCAGGACATTGAATTACAAGAAAGTGATTGATGAGCTGGTGGCAAAGGTTCTGAGAATACAAATGCTAAATCTTTGGACAACCTATACAGATTCCTCTCCTTTCTTTGCTTAATGAAAATGTAGTGATTTTCATTTTTTTCCTGATGTAACTTTGATAATCAAAAATGAAATAAGGGGCAAATCTCCAAATCTCCGGAACCCAGAGGTGGCCCAATGTATTTGCCGCAGGGGCCCCGCATTTTCCCGCGCCAGGCCTGGACATTGCACCTCTGGATAGTTTCCAAGTTGGTCCCAAGAAGCCATATTACCCCTATTGTTGGCGGAATATGGCCACTTCTCAAAAAATAACCCAAGGTTTTTGAGGTAGGCATGACACATGCTGGAACATGCTGAGTACCTTGAAATATAATAGAGGAGGCTCAGCAGTTGAAAAAGAAACACATTAATAGTATTGAGGGTAAAGAAGTCGACATCATTACCCTACTCAAGGACCTACTGTGGAAAGCAGGATTGCAACACCTTTTGGCTTTGAGTTGCATTGCACGTGACTGGGAGACTGTATCTATGAACTGTGGGTGTAAGAAGAGGGATCAAACATAGATCAGAGTGAACATAAGCTAAGAATGTGAAATAAGAGGTCTTACATTGCAGGGAAAATGTTGGGCAGTTTTTGCATGCAAATACAAGTTTTTGCATACAAATATTGCCAAAAAAATTACAGAATTCCCTTTTAACTTCTATACAAGGGATATTTACTTGCATTCAAATTTTGTGCCACAAAAATGTCTGGAGTATGTCAAGTGGATGTCCAAGAGGCAGTGCATGTACATATTCTTATGTATCACCTCCTCATGAACTGCATATTACATACAGATGTCCAGTACATCCATCCATATATCCAGAGGTAGTGCATGGGATGATCTTTTGCTGCCTGAGGTCCCACATGAAAGGCAGCTGACACTGCCAATAGGTCAGAGCAGTCCTACCATGAAATGAAGGATGCATCCATAATACCCCAAATCAAGGTGGCCATATTCCCCCATATTGGTTTGCATGACAAATTTGACAACACTGTCTGTGTACAGTAAGTGCAGGGGCTAGCATTTTCCACTAGCATTCAGGAGGGACCATAGAATAACTTTGAACAGATGGTTTTTTATCCATGCTGCTATTAGGAAATATACACTTGGGTGGCTCAAGGATCATGAGTTGAAGAATCACATGCATATGACTTTCAAGACATCAATGTATCCCAAATTCCTGTCAGAACTGGATCAATGAACAGGTATAAACATTTCAACAATTGCATGTACTCTTCAATTCTACTATTTTCAAAATTCGCCCAAACTAATTATTCATTCTGTTCAGGGATTCATTGTGAAGGGCCATATTCACCCAAGTTACCTTATAATCCTAAGCTAAGGTTTTTAAAGACCAAACAGTCCTTATCATGAAGGCAATACAAGGTTGCTCAAAACACTCTAAATGTCTTACACAGGATCACGTTCTTTCTAATGTGTCCATTCCTGCTAAGCAAGGATATTGTTTTACAGATACTGAAAAACACAGGCAGTGGTCAGTCTATGGCATACACTCTTGTATACACTTAGGCCTACAGTTTATCAAATGAGGCAGGTTGTATGTAACTTGGTACATTAGATCTACCTTTGCAGGCAGTGTCAATGACAGCTGTAAGTGTTGAGGAGCATTGGCGACGTGCTGATTCTCGAGTGGCAAGACTTACACTCTTATTTGCATCCAATTGCTGCTTTTCTATCTCCTACAGATCCAGAAAAGGTTTTGGGTAACCATATATGGTGCCAATTTCTGCAAAGTAACTCAAATGAACTTACCTTCTCAAAATAGAGCTTGCAGTAATCGAAGACCATGGACCATGAAACAGACAGAAGATTGTCCTCTGAATCTGATGCTCTTTTGTTCAACTCTGATATGATTCTTTCATTTCCAAGCAGATTGCACACCTTATCTGCATTGTCCTGTTCAATGAAATATTACAATTGGGGCCAGTATTGATCAATGCACATACAACATGAACATACCCTCTTAATTAGTTTATGGAAATGGAGATGACATTCATGAGAAGAGGGCACAACAGAAATTGTCTAAATGACTGCAAAAGCAGTATTCAAGTATTGTTGTTGATATCATTCTTTTGAACTGGGGTGGTTTATTTTATTTGGTTTCTGGAGTAAAAATATTGGAATAATGTCAATTCATCAAAAACACAAGTATCTTATGAGATGCTTGTATAACTGGATGAAATGAGGTGCATTCAGGAACTACCAACACACGAGCTGCTACTTATTGTCTAATTAATACAATCTGGAACTTGTACGTTCATGTAAAAGATACTTTTGTGCCATCACAGTGCTCCACATACTGTATGTTACATCATTAAAAGAAATACTTTTCCATCAGCAGCAGCACATTAATTTCAGTCTCATTTGAACATGGAGCAGAGATGGCAGCATTTTCCGAAGTTGAGCAGAGAACCATCATCGAGTTTTTGACATGAAGGGTTAGATATTAATCGAACTCAAGCATTATTTTGCTATGCCTTAAGGTACAGCTGGCTTGAAAATTAGTAATTGAGCTATCTTTGCAAGGAATCTGGCCTATCAGAGCCTCACCCATAAGAAGATGGGTAAAGGCTTTCAAAGAAGGCAGAGAACATATTACAGATGACCCAAACAGAGAACAGCTACTGACAAGCCCATGTGACAAAATTTGTGACCTTGTGAACAGCATTGTTATGGAAGACAGACATCCATGAGTAGGGAAAAAGATAGAACACTCTGACATTTCTACATGATATATTCATGCAATTCTGACTGACAAGTACCACATGAAGAAGGTTTCATTTGATGAGTTCCAAGGAAACTAACAGCAGATCAGAGAGCTGAGTGAGTGGACATCTGTCAGGAGTTTGTATGTCATATTAACTGATCATTCATTCCAGACTAGGATGATCAAAATAGATGAAACCTGATTGCTTTCTCCACTTCCCTGAGATGAAATGCCAGACAATTCAAAGGAAACACCAAGGTGGACTGCTTCCAAGAAAGCTTGTGAAGGAGGACTAATCAGCTCACAAGATCATGTACTGTATTTTAGGATTACAGAGGTATTTTTGTGACCCATGCCATGCGAAAAGGGACAATAATCACTGGGGAAAATTACGTATGTGTCATTCACAAGCTTCTACCAGCAATTGGAAGAGTTCCCAGATTTGGTAGTAAACTCCTACATCCTGCACCATGAATGTGCACCTGTTCATTGCATTTGAATTTTTAAAGGAAAGAGAGATCAGATAATTGTCCAATGCTCCTTGTTCCCCAGAGACTTCTACGTCTTTGACTGGCTCAAGAATCAACTTTGTGGCACAAGACACCTAATCTCTTCAACTCTGAGATCAGTAGTTTACAAGTGAATTAATAATACTCCTAAAGTGAATTTGGCAAAAGTCTTTCGAGACTGGCTGAAGTGGTGTGAAGAGGGCAACGAAAGGAGATTATGTTGAGAAGAGTAAACTGCTGGCTATTTTTCATTTATTATAGTGAAAAGTGAATAAATGACTCCTAATCAGTACTTTTAGAAAGCATTTCCTATACAAACCAGAATTGTACACCTATAGGAATCTGAGATAGACCCCAAGAAATTAGCCATTACTTTATCGAAAAACAGGAGACTTAGATGGAAGTAATTTATTTTTTTTTTTTTTAGTCAGGGACCATAGAGGGGGAAACATTAGCATGAATGGGAGCAGAGCCTTAATAACTGGTTAATAAAGATCAGTTGGTTAACTATCGATATCCTAAATACAAACACAAGTATAATAGATATATAATTGTAAACAAGACAAAAGTAACCATGTCAACTGCTTTCATGTCAAACAAAGGCCTTTCCCTTTTATTTAAACTTAATTTTTCCATTCCCCAGAGTGTATCCATGGAAACAGCATTTAGGAGAGTATAAGTTTCCTGTTTTAAAAAAATATGTATATTGAGTCAAAAATGAGACATTCACCTGTTTCAGAGACATCACATAGCCCCAGTATCAATTTCCTGATGATCATAACCGATTTAAGGTCATGGTTACCTTTTAAGCGAATGTGATCACTGAATGAATAGCCAAAGTCAAGAAAAAATGGATACATGTCAGAAATAGCATTCTCAAAGTCTAAAATAATAAAATTGACTGCCTTGCTTAGATCAAATGATCCCAGTACCATTTGCCAGATAGTTATTTACTATGAGCAAAATATCAGACTCATGAATTGATTGTTGAAGTTTTATATCATTTTTTTTAACTTAATCCTTGCATCTCCTCAATAAAACTGTCAACAGGTATTATTTCACTTGAAGCAAGCAACTCTTGATTCTTCCAGTATAATTGCAAAAGACCAAATCAAGGAAAATAAAAATCTTACCCTCCGTTCTTTTATTCTGTTGGAGGCAAGAGCCAAGCAAGAGTTTTTCAGTTCCTCCAACATCATGACACTTCTGAAAATGAAGCATCCATCCACTTCTTGAATTGGCCTTCCTAAGCCAATCTTAGCATTGGAAAGGTTAAATGGACCTTTTCTTCATCATAAGGCATATCAAGATATAACTCCATCAACCTGGAGACTGAAAGAAAACAAAGAGCAAAGTTAATCTATACTTGAAAACTGTCAATCGCTAAAACAAACAAGAGAGCAATGTAGCTGCAAATGGCAAGGGCGTAAGTGCATATGCTCCCACAGAAGTACAGTGGAACCTCGCTTAACGAGCATAATTTGTTCCCAAATCTTACTCATAATGCGAAACACTCGTTAAGCGAAACAATTTTTTCCATAGGAATCAATGTAAAATAGGATAGCCGAGATGCAGGCAGGATCCTGCATGTGACGTCACGATGTCTCCTCGTCACTCGTTCTGCGAAACATCGCTCGTTAAGGGAGTCATTTTTTTACATTTTGTTTTGCTCGTTATGCGAATCACTCGTTATGGGAGGTGCTCATTAAGCGAGGTTTGACTGCATCTCTTGAAAACGAGGATAAAGCCTCTTTTATTCTAGAGGAACGCTTAAGAAACTTTGATAAAGATTTCAAATGGATGAAAGTGTTTCTTGACGTCAATACTGAGTCTTTATCCTTGAATTAATTCGGGAACATGGTCTAGGCCTTCACTATGTAAGAGCGCTTTCAATCAAAAGAGTCTAAGTCTATCCTAATAAAGGCGATTTGTTGGCACTCAAGGGAGTACAGAGGAGGGTCACAAGAATGATTAAGGAGGTCAGGGGACTATCATATGAGAAGCATTTAGATGTGTTGGGACTGTACTTGCTCGAACGAAGGTTAAGGAGGGGCGATCTCATCCAGGGTTTCAAGTAACAAACAAAAAAAAGAAAGAAAAAAAAACAAAACAAAACAAAAATACAAAAATATTTAGCTTTAAGAGGGTTAGGCCTACCCTAAAATTAAGGAGAGCTCCACTTCGACACATGATATCGAAATGGGCGAAATCGCCTCTTGATGTCACTATCTTGAATATTGAATCCTAAACTAAGACATGGGAGATCGGATGGAGGAAATCGGATATACTAAAGTTGCTTCCATATCGCCACGAACTTCAATATCGCAGGCCCCATCGAGCAAGTCCTGCAAAATACCAAGTTTATAGTCCATTAGGCCAAGGTCTCTGTTTGGGCCAGCAGTCCAGCCACGTGACATTCATACCACAATCCCCAAGCCCGCCTCCCTATTGCGGATCGCCATCGATGACTAAGGATGCCACATTCGGGAAAAGACTGCAAGGAAAGGGAGGGGGGGGGGGGGGGAGATTGCAGACATTTTATGCATCCCTTTATATCATATGGGCGTGAAATCGTTGCTGTGCGCAATAATGACGTTACGTAGATCCATGGATTTAAAAATTTTCAGTATTGTTTCTTATAGCGAAGTTTTCACCTTATATGATCAACGAGAAACATCCCAGACATGGCATCTCGTCCTGGGAGGGGGAGAAACTACGATTTTTTTAAATTGTTATTGAGGGAGAAATTGAAACAATAGCGGAAATGCACATATAATTGGATACAGAGGAAAGGGATGAAGATGGAAAACAAAACGTTGTTTTCTGTTTTGTGGTAAAATATGGAAAAACCTACATCTTAAAGAAACTTCGCAAGCAAGAGTAACTAGTATGTGTTGAAATCAGTTCTCAATACAGACACTAGGCGCATTCAGCAAGGCCGGCGGAAGTGGTCCGTAGGGAGCCCCGGGTTCCAGGGACCTTGGTCCGAGGAGGACTAAGGCCCAAATGCACAAACCTCATTTCCGCGAAATAAAAGGGATTTTAATTTAAAGAGCTCTTTTCTCCCCATAGGAGTTCATGTATTCTTAAAGGACCGTTAACTTAAGGAGGTTTCAGCATTTTGGCCTAAATCTAATGTTCAGGTATATAGACGTGAGTGACTGCCTGACGCTACGTCTGAGTAAATGTATACAATTTTCGATACCACTTATCCTAACTTGATGGGGCCGCGGTTACTTGAGTATGTTCCAGATATGATAGATGAAATTTAGTACACAAGTAGTTCTCAAGGTGCTGATTTCTGAAAATGCTTACTTTTAGTGTGCGGCCCTCCAGGGGCACTTCCTTTTTTTGGGAGGGGGGACTTTCCCGAAATTTGTTCGTTTGAACAAAATAGTCCGGACATATTTGTTATCAAATTTATTCTTTGAAGAAAAAAATTTTGGGTCAGGGGCACCTTTGGGGATCCTAACAATCCCCCTCCCCCGCCACAAAAAAATGTCAAGTTAGTTACAGTTTTCTTAACCCTTTAATTACCAAATGCTCTTCCCCGAAACGACACCCCTTGTGCTGAATACTTTTTGGGAAAACGCAGTTTGCGGAAACGAACGAAACAAAGCAACTGTTGCTGAGCTTACTGAGCTCCAGTTTTTATCGACATTACTTCATACTTGGAGAAAATTTCGAGACGCGCTCATGCGACCATAGCACTTAAAGGGGTAAAGGAGTTTTCGCATGAGGAAGAATATTCTGCGATGAAGCTCAATGGAGGCAGTCGCTCCCAGTTTCTACATTTCACATGACTGGTGGTGACTTTTGGGGCGGGTGATGCCCCCATGCAAGATTTCAGGTAAAGCTCCTGTAGTTCTATTGTGGGGAGGAGCTGGTTTCTCCCTCAAAGTTCAACAGAGCAAAAGTCCTTGGATTTGATAGAGACATTTCATAAGGAATGCCACACGGAGGAACAATGTTCTGAGGGAAATCCCCATGGGTCTCAGCCCGGATGAGAGTGCACGCTGCATTTTTTTATTTTATAGAAACCACTCGTTTCAAGATCAAATAGTAAATGGTACGAAATTGTTTAATCACAAAATATCAATATTATTGATTGAAGGACATGTTCTCGACAAAGGCAGTGATGGTTATAGAAAAGTATTAATTCCTAGGATTCTTTTCAAATTCCGGGCTGGTCGGTCTGGTCTAGAAATAATGAGAATATGATTTCCTCCGGAAATTGGCTTGTTTGAAACTGGCTCACCATAATGAACCACTAGGCCATTCAATTGAACACTGTTGGATTGAATTTACGAAACGATATCTTTGATCATTGACAACTGTGTGTAGCGTTAGGCAGAGTCAGAACAAGGGATTCCATTAAAGTACTTGTGTCGAATTATAAAGATTAGGACAGAGCTCTCTTACAGTCGATGAATATTTATGCTAACAAGATGCTAACAAGAGTGAGTCGACTATAGGTCGGCATTATAAGCGCAGTAGCGCATTTGGCGACGCCTTGCGAACGGTCACCCTGTGCGTCGTACGCTGGAAGGTACAAGACATCACATTGAAAACTTTATGAAATCCGTTGTATTTTACTTTATGCGAGCACCGAATGCGCAATTTTAAGATACATTAAAAGTCAATAACATAACTTACACCGGAGAACGCCGAAGGTGCGAGAGTTGCGAGTTTGTTTGCCCGAAGGATAAACCACAAGTAGCAAGTAAAAATTGAAGCAGAGTAGGAACTCTTTTGCACGAGATAGTGCAATCTGTTCGGGGGCTGGATCAACGAGAACGAAGTCGCATGGTACAACTTCCTTTTCAAGGAAACTGTAATAAGCAAGCAGATCCTTAGTATTGGAAAGTGCATTGATGTTAGCAAATTGATAGAAAGCACTTTTAAAGTGCTTTCTATCAGAAAGAGAAAATAACTTTTTTTTTATTTACCATGAAAACAGCCTCGAGGGTACAACGACAAGCCTAATGAAATTGTCGCGAATTGTGCCCATTAAGTTATTACAACCTTTGATGCATAACGGGGGTTCAGAACTGAATTTTTCTAGTAGAGGTTGTCTGATCTCCAAGAAAACTTCAGTTTCAGGATTGACTTTTACCTACACATTCTCTTCCCTGACGCTATTGTCAACAGTGCCGGAGCGACATCAAGTAATTTCAATCATCATTAATTACGAAGAGATATACCGATGATTGAAGGGGATTGAAGGCCACACTATAAATTAAATGTGAAAGGTCGGTAGGTCATTTAGTTTCAAGGTCATTAAGTGGTAGCAATGGCTCTGATGTGGAGAACAGGGAATCTTTCAACAGCTTGCATAAATTCCTTCCATATCCTCGGGAATTCAATATTTATAGCTAAAAGAAAGCCAACCAAATCCTATCGTAGCGTGATAATTGAAAATATTATAGGGAGGAAACCTTTTTAACCAGCGGCCTCCCGATTTTTTTTGTTTTTGCTGGGGGGCTCCGCTTTTAACTGCCGCCGAGCCTGGTATTAAGCGTAGCAACGTCTTAACCAGCGACCTGAGAGGTGTAACCGTTGAATGGGGCTCTTTCTTTACGGCTTCTTGAGTGAGGCCAATGTAGCAAGATCTCCGTAATCTCGGGAGACGTTTTCCGGAAGATCAAGAAAGCACCACTCCATCCCATCCGCTACTAAATGCTGCACTCTGAAGAGAATGGATGAAAAGAGTTTCTAGGGTGGGGAGGGGGGGGCACAAAAACTCTAGGACACCGTCCTCATGGGGGGGACGTTAAGGGGGGGATTGGAGAGGGGGGGGAGGGTAAAATCTTGCGCATGTGATGACGTCAGCGAACCGTTCCACAATAAAAACGGATGATTTGGCCTAGACGCCTATCTCGCTGGTTAAGGCCAAGATAGGTCGTACGCGCTCTTTCTCTTGTTTCTCACAGCCGTAATACCATCTACTCGCGTTTGTCAGAGCCATCCTGGCAGCATTGTACATACATGGCTGGTATGTTCGTTTATTTCGATAATATTCTTAGGTTCTTTAATTTCATTCACTCTCTTAGTAGCAGTCGTTATGAAGGACAATGGTAACGTTTGTATTGTCGCATCCTGTAAGAATACGTATAGGACTTGGCAGGAGGGCCGGATTAAGGGGGGGGGGCAAAGGGAGCTGTTGCCTCGGGCCCCTCTTCCAGGGGGACCCCCCTCCCCCTCCCCGAAGGAAATTAAAAACATTGAGTACAAAAAAGCATTGTATTTGCGTAAAGTAGCGGGGCGGGGGGGGGGCAGGAATTCACTTGCCCCGGGCCTCGCAACTTCTTAATCCGGCCTTGCTTGGCAGGCATAAAATATTTCCTTTCATGAATTTTCAAAATGTCTAGACAGAAAAATGAATGGCTTCAATCGCTTGGAAGAAAATCTATCCCCAGATATGCTTTTATGTGCTCACATCCCTTCTCCTCAGATTCCTATCATGATCGAAACGCTACAAGCCGCTTGAAAAAAGATGCCGTTGCAATGGAGAATCTGGGGGAAGATCCAACGCAACCTCCCACTTTCACGTTAGTCGCGCCCTCTGACGGTCCATTTCAACAAATGGAGGACTAGTAGATCTCCTCATCACTTGAGAATGAAAATAATGACATAAAATCATCGTACCGGAAGACCGTGAATGCTCATTGTTTAGAGGTAGAAATCCTTCGTTAGAAGCTGAAGAGAGCACAGGAGACACTGAAGCTGAGAAATCTTTTCACTCAGGTGATGCAAGAAAAGGAACAGTCATGGAAGATCTCCAAGGAAATGTGTCACTATGATTCAAAAACCCGTCCGCAAATGAGTATTTACAAATACTCAATTGTGAAATAAGTTCTCAAATGGCCCCCCTATGGCCAGGTTACCATTATATTTTTTTACTTTTTAATAAAAAATAGCTTCTACATTAATTTTTACTGGGGCCAGTGAAAAGATGTTCAAGTTTTTACCCCAGACGAGAAATGAAGAAGGTGATAGAGCTTGGAGTGGAGGAAGGCGGGGAGGGTGGGGGGGGGGGGGCGGTAGGAAGTAAGGAACCGTCCGCCAACGAAAGTTTTCTGTATCCGCTTCTGAATCCAGAGACATGGTATTTTTTAACTAGACTGGACATGCCAATGGAAAATGCGCTGCAGCCGCACGCCGATTTGAAGGAGCGGCCGCCAATCTCTCATGCCGTCATTGGTCGCCCAATAAACGCATAGCTTTACGATTCATGACGTGTGACCGCTCCTGAATACATACTGGCCATGATTACATTGTGTCTCAGTATGCATCATCCTCTCTTTGACGATAACAGTAATGACTGACGGCCTCTCAAATCGGCGTGAGATCTTCGACTGCCTTATTCAGTCTAGTTATATTTACCATGTCCCTGGTCTAACCGGCATAGAGCCATTTCTAAACGTCGGAATAGTAATAGATTGATGACAGGACTTCTAGATATTTGC